TTAGCTAGCTGGAGTTGCTCTTGCTTTAGCAAGTTAAGTGACGGGGTGGACGCACCTCAGAAACTTCAAATAATTGATTAAATCAATCTTATGGACCCCCCCCCCGCGGTTCGACTCCCCCCTGCGCGCGGTGAGCGGGACCACCAAGCAGCTGCAGCACACCAAGCATCTGCAGCGCCCAGCGCAGCAGCGGCAGCAGCAGCAGCAGCACCAGCAGCAGCAGCAGACCACCCAGCGGCGGCAGCAGCAGCAGCAGCATACCCAACGCCGCGGCAGCAGCAGCCGCAGCAGACCACCCAGCGCCAGCAGCAGCAGCAGCAGCAGACGACCCGGCGCCTGCAGAGCACAGCGCAGCAGCGCCCAGCGCAGCAGCGGCAGCAGCAGCACCAGCAGCAGCAGCACCAGCAGCAGACCACCGGAAGCCCGGCTAGCTTTCGTTCACCCCCTCTGGCCTCAAGTGTGCAGCGGACAGTGAGGTCATTGATTTCATGTGGTTTGACCATGATCCTATGTGGTGATGAAAGAAGAGGGCAGCGGCTTACCAACAGGGGGTTATATCGTCCAAGCCTGACGTTCTTGGGTCACTCAGGGTCACTCGACACTCGCGACCATCTGGACTCAACACCAAGCCTGCCTCATGTGAGGAAAGGATGATTTCAGTGTGGACTTCCCACCAACATACATATAACGGATGGGAAGACACCAGTTAGGTCACCAAAGCATTTGGGGCACATGTTGATCCAACAACTGAAATGCAAGCCGCATTAATACACACAAATACACAAACAAATAATGGATGGAAAAGAAGCAGCAACATGTTCTCAGTGCTTTTTCCAGCAACCAGGAAGACAAAGACACTCATTGCTTTGAGCAATGTTTCCACATATCCTATTCAACATGCCCCAGCCCCTTTTTTCAAGATACTCCATTGACTCAGATTGACGTCGATGCACACAGCTAGTCCTTCGCGCGAATCGATGACACCCATCGATGACACCCGCAAGCTTTGCGCGCTTGGCTGCAAAGCTTTGCTCAGGATACAACCAAGCCCCCCAGTACGGCTATGATGGTGTGGGCACCCAGTTGGTGGTCTTCCAGTCGACTCCAGACGGCCGAACACCGGTGGTCCGGTGGCGCAACTGGAGGCAGAGAGCAGGAAATTAAAGAATGGTTTCTGAATGCGACCAGCTCATTTGTCCCACTTCGATGCATTTGACAAGTACAGACGTTGAAGAAGGCAAGGGTGCTTTGAGGGGCCGGTATTCCTGTGATACGGGTCCAGCATGTGGCCACAGCACATGCTGGTAAGAAATGTAAACATCATGGCTGTATGAATAGTAAGGGCATCAAGAATTCAGCATAAATTGACAATGGGCTGGCCTATGAGCTTCTTTGCTTTTAGAAGTTTTGTCAGAGGAAGATGGAGCAGACATCCCCTTGTACCCTAAAGCTACTCGAGTTGGCCCCACCGCAGATGCACAGGTTACATCGACCTGCCTATAGTAGTACCTGGCTCTGTTGATCCAGGTCTCACATGCACTTACAGATTCGCACGCCACTGAAAGATTAAGGGTCACATAGGGTTACTCAACCCTTGTCTATACTAGGTGCGTTTCCCCTCCTCTTCGCGGGATTACCCAGAAAAGCGCAGCCCGTGCAGGTTCCTCAACTGATGTGGATGGCAGCACTGATGAACAAGAGACCGATGAGGACCGATGATGATCACAGTGCACACCGCCGGACCAGTGGATTTGCATGGATTTGCGTTGAACATTCTGGCAGTTGGGAGAGGGGTGTTTGTGACGTGATGGAATGTTCCCTCAAACATCCTCAGACCCAGATTTGGCTAGCGGTTATACTGAGCCAAGTTGAGCTTTTCCGCTGGCGCATCAGGAGCGTCGGTACGCCAGCGGATTTCAGCATGAGCAGCCCAGTTGAGCAAGCCACCACAATGTCCAGCTCTACCCAGGAAGATTGATATCCCTAGGGCTCCAAGTACCTCCTCGACTCAAAGGGTATTTGGACCCTCCAAACCCACCCCCCAACACCCTTTCGGAGGGAACTTGGAGCCCTGGGGTATGTAACATAACCTGAAAATTCCTTTGGAAGACTATATTTTCCTCCATATGCAACCCACTGGTTTTCACCAGGGAGTCGGTGGTGCATGGTGACCACCACATATGGACTCCCGTTTGGACCTCTGGCAGGAGACCATCGATCACACCCTCGTGAACCTGAAGCAGCCTCGTCGGGGACACTCAGTGGTGCCTGCACCAGACCCAGACGCTCCATGGGACTGCCATATATATATATATATGCCTACATTGACCCCCCAAACCACCCCAATGTAGGCAGCATATACTCCATACATGGAGCGTCTGGGAGACATGACCAGACTGGAAGATGACCAGACTTGCCGAAGCCCAGAGGATTCTGGCGAAGCTTGTGACCGGGTGATGATTCAGTCAGCTACTCGGGGGGGTTGCTTCTTGGGGTGAGGTGTTATGGGTTACCCGAAATCCTCAGACACCTCGGTCGAGTTCGCTTCTGTCGACATGACACCTTCCTTCGGTGCCGATGACGTGTCAGGTGGATGCCGGCCGCCGATCACGGCCGCGTGCTGCTGCCACGTGTGCTACGTTTGCCAGTTCTTGATTTTTATGGCCCCTCGGTCGGGACACGGGACATCATGAAAGGCCGAAGACGAGAGCGCGTTTTTTCGTGACGAGTGCCGCGTTTTTTCGTCGGATCATCGTTTTTGGTGAGGGAAGAAGTGGCGAAGCGTGACGAAGCGTGACCTCAGGGCTTTGGGAGGCCCTTGGTTGATTATGAAGTTCCCTCCCAGACACTCCATGTATGGCATTTATATGCCTACATTGACCCCCCCAAACCACCGCAATGTAGGCATATATACCTAGATCTTCAGTCCGGCACTTTTACAGGGTCCGGCGCCGGACTTCCAACTCCGGCGTTTTTCTGGATTTGGTCCGGCGCTTTTTCCAAGTCACTTTATGTGGATTCTCAAGGCTTTGCATTCTTTGTGGTCTGCATTTCTTTGAAGGTAAACCCACTACTGATGCAATGATTTTGTTTGCAAAGTGTGCTCGTTTGCCTGTTCCGCTGTTTTCTCGTTCCACCGGTTTCAGCATGGTTCACACTGGATCAATCAGATCCGTTTAGGTGATCTTCTATATGAAATCGGATGAAGCCGGTACAGTGCGATGCACCTGTTGAAAGACCCAAGTGGGTGTACCTAAGCTGAAAGAGCATAGGCAAAAATGCACTCCCATTGTTTCAGGATGTCGGGGCGCTGGGATATAGTTCTAGCTGCGCAGGTTTGCAGAGCCTGCCGGACAAGTTTTGGGCTGTGGAACATGTGTTGTTCAGAATCTCAATGTTTGGCAGAGAGTTGTCAAAAAATGGCACGTCGTAACTCCGGCGTAATTTCCCGTAATTCCGGCGTAATTTCCCGTAACTCCGGCGTAATTTCCCGTAACTCCGGCGTATTTTTTTGGACTGAGTCTTCTGCAGGCTTTGATTGTGAACAGTTTTTCACAGAAGAGTTTCGACAGGAACCATGAGTTCTGCTACTACTACTTTATTGGGGGGCCGTCCTGAGGCAAGCTTTCATGAAACATTGAGAAGCATAAGAATCATGGAGAGCAGCCCACTTTGTAAAAAAACACTTTAGAGACACGGTTGCAGAGAAAGAGGGGTTCCTTGCCACATACTCCTTGGCTTTTTCTTGGAAGTTTTTGCTTGGGCACAAGTTGCTTATATTGTGTGATGGTTTTGCTCTTAGGCCATTCGCAAGATGGGCGAGGGCAATGGGAACGGGAAGGTTCGAGTGTGCTCCAGAAAAACTACTCGCGGCGCAAAGGCAGTTTCCTTGTGTATGATCCAACCTTTTATCATCTCTGTTTTTCAGAATCTTGGATCCGGATGTTTTTTCAGGTCTCCGGCGTTTTTTTCGGAATCCGGCAGAAAATTTTGCCGGATTGAGGTCCGGCACTTTTTTCCGCCCAAAGGAGGATCCAGGTATGGCAGTCCCATGGGGTGTCCCCGGGTCGAATTCGCACAGGGTAACTTAAGTATAGTATAGTGATTTTGTATGACCACGACTACGTCCAGTAGAATGAGGTCATTGACAGGGATAAATACATATGTTCTTGAAGATTTCTTATGAACTTTCCTAGGATTTCCTTCTTGTAACTTGGAGGAGGGCTTCCGAAATCATGACAAGATCAGCGACTGGCAAAATTATTGGTTGACTTATTTAGTCACGGCATGACCCTGACCTATGTTGAGGGATTGTTTCTGTGCAAACCGGTAGTATGGTCCCACCAAAATAGAGGGTAATTTTACTAAGATCTAGTGGGTACTGGTACAAATAACGTTGTTGTAATTATGGTTTGTTGCATTTGCATGTTTTTTGGAGCTAAACCGATGGGCCAAGCTTTTCATCAAGGATTCATGATTCACCTTGCCTTAAACCAACTGCATTGTGTTGAAAAAAGACTTGACAGGATTCTTTATCCGAGCATTCTCCTAAACAACAACTTCGCCCAAATGATAAGCGAATGATCACCTAAATTTCCTAAATGTCACGCCAGGTACTCGACCCGTAAACCTATACATCTCCACAATGTTACTGTGTAATACTGTACTACATATTCATTGTTTGTGCATGGGCCGAGCTCCTAGGTCCTCGCTTATGTGTTGTGATCCTTGCACGGCCCAGTGCCACAAGAACCCAAGCGCATAAACAAGTGCTGTTCCATTCCTGTGCAGAAAGCACTGTAAGCCTGTAAGCCTCTAATCTGAGGTTGTGAGCATTGTGAGTTGCATTTTTGGCTACACAAGTCATTGTATCCGCTGCCCATGTGCCACGTGACACCTGTTTTTCGGAACACCGGGTGGGTCAGCCATGACGTTCTGCACCGTAGCACCGTACCGAGGTGGTTTTTCCCTTGTGGACGAAGTGGTTGGTGACGAACCCCATGCCAACTCAGCGTCTCGACTGGGCATTCTGGAGAACTGACATGCTGGTGACGCTGGTTGATTGGCGTGATGCTTGTAATATCTTGTAATAACAATCTATTTTGTGATGTTGGAAAGGACACCTTCAAACTTGCCAGGCTTCACCCACAAACAGTGGCCGGGCCGTGGGCGGGTCTCTTTTGAACGTCTCTACGTTACGTGGAAAACTCTACGTGGAAAATTGGCCACGCGCCCCTCAGACGTCGACGTTGATCTTCGCTCCCAGACGGTCACTTGAACCGACCCTGCTGGCTTCACGACCTGGGGCGCAAACTGCTTTGATGCAAAGAAACTATATCCACCAACCCACTTCCGCACCCGACCCCCCGCCTGGGCCAACACCTCCGTCTTGCTTTCCCGGGATTCCTCGGGTCCGTCCCGAGCCGGCAGAGCTGGGCCAGGTATTGGCATGAGCAGTACCCCAAGTGGCCGTCCATCGCAGCGGTGGGTGGCCAGAATTTGGCCGAAGAGTCTCCGGTGCCTTGGGCGGTCGAAGACGACGGTGCAGACGGTGCTTGTTGGAAGTGAAGGTTCTGCAAGATCCTCGCAGTGAAAGCATCCTATTAAGGATGAGTGTTTTTCTTTGTATTTGTATGGCATTCTTTCAAGTTTCCCTCCCTCATATATACTCTCTCACACACAGCTATTTACGGGCGCTTCGCCGGCCAGTGCCGCCAGTGCTGAGGTGAAATATCCCATCGAGATGTCCCCCATCCCGTCGCTCGGAGCTCTAAGAGAGCTACTAGTAGTTGGGAAAAGGAGACGGGGCGAGCCGTCGGCTGGTGGTACGAGAGGTTTCGTGCGGAAAGGCGTTGAAGAACATGGTGGAAATAGGTGGAAAGGACTAAAATGTGACATAATGTGACCAAGACTGTTAGGCTCAAAATGGCTCAAATTCTAATTTACATCGAACACCATCGGCCAAGGGGTCATCACCTTCCCAGGATTGTCGCCCAAGGCTGCGAGACATGGTGGGTTGGGCGTTTGATGGCCAGTTGTACATCATACCGTAGAAGTCCAAAGACTTTTTTTGAGACTCCCAAAGAGGATTTGTTGTTCGGGTATATATGCGCATGTATTATGTACAATTAACTATAATGCATATCATCATATAGGCAGCCAGGAAGCAAATCACTTTGCTAAGAGTTGGCGCATTGTAGATTGTGGACTCAGGGTGGTGCTTTCGCAGAAGAAAGCAAAAAGATGTTGGATGGAACACACCAAGACTTGGGTCCCAAAGCGAAGGTCATCGCGTAAACTTCAAGCAGTGACCTACTAAATCAGTGGCCACGGAGTGATGATATCGCCGGTGTCACTTCACCATGCGCGATCGTGTGTTGTTCTTTTTTTGCCCAGGGCCCCGCACCATGCATGGGACGCGTGCATATCCTTGTTCCGTTGGGAGCTAGGCAGCAGTCGGACAGCTGCAATTATTCCTGCTCCTCGTGGCGGGGCTACCGGACCAACGAGATGAACTTCCGCGTGAGCTTGACCTTGAACGATTCCATCCTGGCCAAAGGCCAAGTGACGTGTGACGTGCGTGATGTGGCACTGTAGGGCCAATGTATACGGGTCGGTAGTTAGAAGGGGATGGCTGGGGTTTGTCCTAATACCTGTAACATCCGGCAACAGTCGGTAAACAATTATATACAACTATTTTTGGACAAGGCCTTTAATAATCTTTAATCATCGTCATCATCCACTGTTACAGGTAATAGGACAGACCCAAGCATCCGGGATGGCTGTGTTTAGCTCCACTTGGCGGCTGAGGATGAAGTCGGCATGTTTGGATGAATAGGGGTGATCCAAGATCAAGAGGGACTCAACTCTTCACAATCAGAGGCACCGGCAACCAGTTGCACCATTTGCCATTTGAGATATGCATGATGATTTGAAGCCCACAAACCACCAAACATTATGTGTGAACAAAATATGCTGTTGCACAGTTCGATTATATATGCGATCTTGGGGTTGTGCCGCCCCTCCGCCAACAATCGTTTGGAAGACTCTTTCTAATGGCCCCTTAGAAGACGACTTTTCTCTACACTCCCAAGTTTGTTGAAGAGAATTTGGCCTTGACCCACAACCATCCCACTGCCACATGATCGAATATTTGACATCCACTTCCGTGATTGACTGACATGTTGATGACCAGCTTTCTTTCGCGAGGCTATGTTCACACGGTGTACCCAGTGTTGCTGGCCTCGGCAGACTTCAATGATTGGTGGGTTGCTTGGCGTTCTTTGCAAGACATCTCTATAGACAGAAGAGGGAATTTTACATCCCACAGATTTCATGCCGAATAGAGAACCCCAGGAAGTGTCGTCCCAGATGAATGGATTGAAATGGATTGAATTGGTACTATCAGATAGGGGTCCCAGACTCCCAGATGTGGTCTATTTTTGATCAACTCAGGTTGTGGCTGATCGAAGACACTCCTATCCCCAACCTTTCTGGAGGGCCAGGAGCGGGCGTTCGAACATCAAGCGAGCGATCTCGCATGGTTTCGCGGCGCGTGTTTGTTTGGAGGTGTCAGTTCTGATAGGCTAGCAGACGCGAATTCAACATCAAGCTGCACCCCCTTCAAAAAGCCTCAGAGAGACCGCCTGAGAAGCCTTTTCAGCTGCAGTTTCGAACCTGCGTGCTTCGAGAGGACAGCTGCTGCTGGACATGCCTACACCTACACGACTGATACTTGCAACGTGCCACCAGACAGTCAGGATTCAATCAGCAACTCGACAGCCACAGAGTCAGCATGCCCCCCACAACCACTTCCTGCTAGTGACTATATAGTGACATTTGCGTCACCAACTCCACCTGATCTTCCACACCACCCTTGGAGTACAGTATTTATACCTTCTCTTCAATCTTGCCTCTCCGCATTCAGATGGTCCATCCCCCCCGGTTCCCGGCTGAGACGTCACCGGCCGGCTTACACGGGGCAGGTCAGACCACCTCCGGGCAGTACGTGCTCGCCTGCGTGGTGTGGAAGCCGTCCAGCTTCGCAGCCCTGGAGGCCATGACCTCGCCACTCGGTTCCGCGTGGGAACCGCGTGGGAACCGCGTGGGAACCGGCGGAAGGCACCGGCCGGTGTGGCGCGAGAAAGGAAGGAAGGAAGGGGATGTAGGATGTAGGATGTATATGTTAATATATGATGTGTATATACATATCCTACATAGATATGAGAGAGAGATAGGTGTGTTGGTGGGGGGGTGGATTGAATTGTGTGTGGTATAGGGTAGGGGGTCTTCGTGGATCCAAGAGGTTTGATATGGCTGTCTCCTCGTTCGGGATTGACGTCATGCCTGTGGGGATGATCTTCCTGGCTGTTCTTCGTTCGTGTTCCGTCCATTTGGGCGGCTAAACAGATCAATTCCGGAAAGAGAACCTCGAGTTCGGCACGGGTTCCACTGGCCTGGCCCGCGCGACCGCCCAGGGTGGAGGATTCGGACATTGGCACACACTGCCACAGCGCAGGCGGGGATTGGCTACAACCGCCAGTGTTTTTGTTCCTAATTGGATATAGACTTAGATGACTGATATAGTGTTGGAATGTTCTATTCTAATATGTTCTGAGTCTATTGGTGCACACTGGAAGCTGTTCGTGTTTGAGTTTTGGGGCGCTACAGCTGCTCAGCAGTCGAGGAAGGGGCCGGAGACCCAGGGCGCTTCCCGGTCAAACACCGACACATCCCTGGCCTGGGCCTTTGCGGCTAGGATGGCCATAATCGTAGGTGGGAGGTATGCCCAGATGGTCAACCACGAACCCCTGCGGGTTTGGCGATGTCAAGTGCTCCAGACAAAAGATCAAGAAGCCAGGGCCAGAGATACAGAAGACCCAAAAGTCCATAGATTATGGGTTTGGGCTGCTCCATGGTCCAGGTACTCAGTGCTTGGTTGTGACTTGTAATTAATGTAATCAACTTGTGCAAATGTGCATGTCATCATCCAACCGGTGGAAAGAGAACCAATTCCAACGAAACACGCACAGCAACACCCCCAAACCCACCTTTTGCACTTGTTTCTTTAGCTTAGCCTAGCCAGCTCACCCAAAAAGGTGCCAGTTCTTCACCTGCTTTTTCCTCCAGTGAGCCCAGTGACTCTAGTGCCATAAGTCCACGGTCTTTGGTTGATTTGAGCACTGGAGGTGCCAGTGCTTCACCGCCCGCAGGTGGTGTGTGTGGCTGGACCTGCGACTCGGTCATCAACAGCGACTTGCTGGAGGGATGCACCGCGGACAGCACCATTGAGATGACGCAGAGCTCCATCGCAGGGCGGGAGATCCCAAGTGCCAACTTCCAGGGGAAGATCGAGATGAGGGAGCCCTGGTGGAAAGGTGGAAATGGGGGAGCATCTAACTGATTGTTGATGTGTTTTTTTCTTCTCTGTGATTTTGTGAAGTGGCGGGAGTAGATGACCTCTTTGGGTTTTGAGGAAGGCTGAGTTCGTTGGTCTTTGTCCGGCTCCTTACCGGGAAAGGGAAAGGGGTTTCTCCATCGTAAAATGGGTTTCCTCATGAATAACAAGGTGGTTTCCTCATGGAGACAGATAAATAGCATGGTGGTACACTAGTATACAACCCCCAGGAGATGGCAAGAGGAGGTGAACGCCCATTGTCCAAAAGAGAGCTTGTGGGCGATATGTTGCCGAAGCCTCGAAAACCGTGAAATCCCGATCGAAGACAGTGTGTTGGTGTGCTGTGTTGTGTGTGTTGTGTGTGTGTGTGTCGCTCCAGCCAAGCGGCCCTTCCTAATGGGTTTGCCGCCGCTCTCATGCTCTTAGGAGTGCATGAATGGTGGAGTGAATGGCGTTTGCGACACCGGCACCGAGAAGTTCAAGCAATGGAATTGCCACAAGTGTTTGTACGACCCTCGAACTGAAGATGACATGAGGCCGGCATGTGTGGGCGCCCTGGATGGGCTGGCAAGAGGGCAGAGTGGGAGCAGATGTGATGGTGGAGTAGCTGTACTTGTCAAGTGTATAACTCTATATGCTAGCAGATGGGTATTGTACAAGTAGCGGTCTCAGCAAAAATGATCAGTTGTTTTTTGGAGATGAAGCGCATCAGACCAACATACTTCAGCTGTTCTGTGGGGAACTGAGGAACTGAGAGCCAATCATGCCTTCTGAGTTAAACAAACATGATGAAACCAAGTTAAGGAGAACTGAATGCTTGCGGTCAGGGGCGTGGGACCGCTTTATACAACATGCAGCTTGGACCTTAGAACATGCGCGGCACATCCCACAAAAAAAAAAAACAGACAATTCACTCTGAGCAGGTGGTCCAGCGGTTTCCCAGACTGTCTCTACAGTCCTGCAAGGTTTCTTCCTCCAAAGGCGTTCCAGCGGTCCGGGCTCCGCAAGTCCTTCCAGGCGGCGCTTGCAGATCATCCCCGGCATCGGCGGTTTGCCTGCCGGACTGCCGGGCTTGGACACGGACCCGGATACGCCCGCCACGCCTGGAATTCCAGGAGTCCCAGGCATTGACCTGCCAGGCGTTGGTGGGGGCTCCAGCTCGGAAGGACGCTCAGCAGTGACCGTGCTGGCATGCGTTCCAGGCAACAAATTGCTGGGGGTTGAGAGGTGCTCCTTTCCTATACTTACACGACCTTGACGTTTGGAGGAGGGGAAGATGACAGAAGACTACCCGTTTGGAATCCAATTATATTTCTAGGATTCCAGGTCATGCCCAATTCCACACGGGTATCATAGGATGACCATACCCTAGGCCCTAGGGTATGGTCATCCTATGATACCCCCTAGCTCTCCAACCACATCCTGAGAAGGTAATTTTACCCCAAACCTACCCCAACCACCTGAGGCTGTGGTTGGAGCCCTAGGGATAACCACATACGATCTTTTTCAGGACACACCTCGTATCCGGTCCTTTCGTCCTGTGTATCCAGTGCTCGGTCCTGTGATCCCGTGCTCGGTCACTGTAAGTGAATCTGACGAACGAGCTGTAAAACCCGCACGGCGGAAGTGGACTTCCTTGGCTTCGTCACGGTTGTTCAGGGTGAATAAAAAAAGGATCCACCGCCGATTTGGTCTTAAAGACCGAATGAATAGCCCAATTACGCATAGACCGCATCCAGCACCCGTGTTTAGACTCGATTAGACCACACTGGTTCTTCGCAGCGGTTCCCTAAACCGGGTTCGGCCATCCTCCGTGCCCAGGAAAGGGCCCCATGATCTACACCTCCCTTCCGCGGTTCCATGTCACAGTCAGCGGTTCAACGGCACCGAATGGCATTGATGTCTTCAACCAGCCGCGGGTCTTCGTGTTGCAGTCCTCCAGGTCCAGCCAAGGCTGCTCATCCTGCATGCAGGTGTTTGACGCGGAATGAGCCCTTCTTGCGAATGCAAGATTGTAGTGACTGATGATGTGTATTTCAAGTCCATCATAATATGATCTATACATTACAGATCAATTTCTGAGGTGTTTTTTGTTTGCATTTTGTTTCAAACTGGAGTGGTTGAAAGTTGAAAGGTGTGATTCTTGCGGGACGGTGCGTGGTAAGAACAAGCATGCAACCTGACTCAGGAAAGTGGAGGAAACTCTACAAGCACAACTACGGCATGACATCTCCACCAGAGGCTGTGGGCAAGGACAACAAGCCGCTGGTCAAGGAGGACCCCGATTCCTATGACGAGGAAATGGTGCCCGTCCCACTTGAACTTGCTCAACACGGATTTTGCTGTTGTTTTGTTCTTTGAGGAAAGGTACTTGTTGATGCTACACTCATACAGTCATACACATTCCAAACTCCAAACTATATAATAGTCACGAGCAACATGGTAACACGCAAACACCCAATAGCTTGATGCCGTAGGTGGTGGCCTAGTCAGCCTCGTATGTGACTACTTTTCCACACTTTTCTCCTGAGACTTTACACTTTCGTCCGAAAGTGTTCTTTTCGGAGAGAAACTTGTTTGAAGACATTCTCCACTTTTGTGCCATTCTACATTGTTTGGTTTTATACCCTTCACTTTTGGATACCTTTTGCTTTGATTGCCTGCTTTTGGTTCTAAGTCCATGTCCTTTCCCTTGTTTCAACTTTCAATGGCCATGCTCATAATTTATCGGTTCCTTTTTCACTGGTTATAAGCAAGACTCCCAAATAGCTAGTCCTCATCCACGTCCCTGGTCTCTTCTTAGCCCCGTCACGAATCCCAAATCTATTTATGACACAATACTATATTATATAATATATTGTTTGTTAATACATTATAGATTGTTTGTGACCAATATAGTTACAATTTCATAGACTAGATGGTTTGCAACACCACACCGGGCAAAAGACCCGACCTCCGACAGTCGGTCCCTCCAGGTCCAAGATCCAGTGAGTGCCCATGCCATGAATTTGAACCAGCAGAATCGCTTGGACATTGACCCCGGCTGGTGCTACGGACGTCAGGGACCCTTGTACTTGGTGGCGTGCGCGGTGAACAGCACGCTGCTGGGCGAAAGATGGCGAGTTTTTCAGGTTTGTCGCCCCATCCCGTGCACGGGTTGTCGCGCTGGATTTCTCGTGTGACGTAGCGTCCATTTCATGCCATGCCACCAATGCTGTTCTCAGGCTCTACGAGGGAACCTTCACCCGATTCAAGGCAGGACAACAAGCCGCGCCCCCGCCCTTCAATGACCGTTGTGTGGCCGTGAGTGGGCGCTGCGCCTATGCGTGCCAGTCCGAGCAGAGGCCCTTGGCCAACTGTACCGCTGCATCTGGGCAGATCATTCAGAGGGGGCATGCCCTGCCCCCACAGGGAAGAGAGAGAGAGAGAGTCGTAAAAACATGTAAAAACAGTGGAGGCCAGTGCATGACTGCACCACCATGATCCACTGTTGCAGGCCATGGACGGGATCCATCATGGAGTGTATATGTCCAGAGTGTAAGTGTGTGTGTGTGTGTGTTGGTGTAAGGAGACGCCCTGGCGTATTTTGGTCCAACTGCGACTTTGCCCTTTGCCCTGGGCTGGGCCGTTTTGTGTGAAGGGATCGGTCGCAATTCTGCAGTCATGATGAGAGTAGTGAGGAATCTGCATGTAAACCTCCCAGGTCAGCACTGTTTTCTTTTTTGTCCCAGTCTCCAAAAACGGGCCCTACGGCGCGTCTACGGTCAAAGACTTACCGCTAAAGACGTACCTTTGACATCTATACTTACCACACTGACACTTGCTCGTTTTCATGTACTGCTATCAACACAATTAATCCAACGTTGGGGGCTGAAGTCACTGACTTTTTCTTGCAAGACGTGAGTTTACCCACCGAGCAGAGACACCACGGACTCGGGGGGGCTTGGACTGTGTTCACTCGACCTGCGTGCGCCGCTCATGCCGCAGCTTTTCAAGTGAATCACTGTTTCGGACGGGTGAGGATGGCTACATCAACCAGACTGCCTTGGTTGGATATGTTGGCTATGAGAAGAACCAAACGGCGCCTGTGTGGCTCTTTTGCTATGTCTTGTTGATCGGCTTCGGCGTCAAAGCAGTCATGCTTTGCCCAGGTGTTTTCTCTCCATATCCCCACTTCCGGAGGTATGACCCCGAGCTCACCGCAACCAGGCTGAAGTAGATAGTTTGTTGGAAGACGTAGTAAAAACAGTAGACATCACTTTTCCGTATTGCGCTATGGGTGGATTTAGGCCCAGGCCTGGTTGAATTTGTTCAAGACATAGGCAAACCTGCGCTACATCACCGTATGTATTCCCAGTGCCGGAGAGAACAAGTGCGTGGTGCTGAGAAATGTCATTGGTGCAATTGGTTGCATGCCCAAAGACTGCCGTTGCCGCTACCACGTAACCTTTGTTGACGAGGGCCACCGATATGAGCAGAAGGTCATGTTCATGAAGCTTGCAGCTGTTATTGACCGCATCCCGAACTTCGGTGGCGTCAGCTATGAGGAGAACGTGAGCAGGTTCTTCCAGACATGGGTGGAAGAGACCAAGAAGTTGGACTTGGCCAAGGTGAAGGATGGAGCAAAGGGAGAAGATGTAGAGCCACAGTACATGGTAGCTTGGTGTACATTAATTAGGGTGGTGTGTAACCGGTGAGCTCAGTCAACAAGAGTCCGTTGATGTAGATGAAATATATATATATATAACAACACATATTGAATGTTGTATGGACTTGTAGATGGTATCAGTTGTGTATGTTATCCATTTATCGATACGTGTGCGTGTGTATGTGTGTTTGTGCATGTATGTAAACTACATACACACCACGTATATGCAGCACATTGCAGCACATATGCGCTTACATGTGTAGCAGCACAGAGTTGTGTGCAAACAGCGTTGAAGTGGCAGCAATATTTGAAGGAATTTGGATTTCAAGCACTTGCGCCTCCTTGGCTCTTAGTTGTTCAGCCTTCCAACGCCTTCAACACGACGGAACATTTGCATATTTTTTCCGGCTACCATGGCCAGTTCAGGCCAAGCACCGCCTCTCAAGAGAGCATCCGACCGAGCCGTTTTTGCACCCCAACAATTCGCGCGGTGCTGCGGTGCTTCCTGAGGTGCGCATGTGTGGGAAGAGTTCCCTCAAGAAACTCCGCACCGAGGGCGGTTGGGGAACCATGGCTCCGCAGGCGGGGGCCGAGCCGAGTTTTGGGCAGAGTTCAGGGGATGGCTTCACCAGCGTGCCAGCTGCAGCACCTACACTGTGCAGCTCATGAAAAACAACAGAAAAACAATTAGATCATTTATAGTATATGATGAAGTTCCGGATGTTTCATCCAGGAGTTTTCAAAGGGGTAGTGTTGAGTCCTTCAGTGAGTGGGCCCCCTAACCTCCAGATCCAGCACCCCGACATGGAACTGCTGGATCTTTGACTGGGACCGTTTTAGCAGCGTCGACGTCAAACACCTGTCCCGTTGCAAAGACGACTTCTAGAGGGGCACAATTATTGGTTGCCTTCAATCCCCAACTGAATGGCCTCAATAAACACAGTGTCTATATATATATATGTGGAAGATCAATGACCATCAAAGACTCAAATAGACAAATAAGTGTTGGACACAAACTCCGTTGAGACTCTGGAAGAATCAGACACCTTGGGAAGCTGGCGTTAGGAGGGGGCTTGACTGCAACTCCGTGACTGATTCTGCGCCAAAGCAAGAAGAACTCAGATAGTTTAAGCTGATTTTTGGTGATAAGAGGCAACAAACTAGTTTGGAGTTTGGGATGTGTAGTGTTTTTTTGTTAGGCAATCCCTTCTGTGCATTTTGCTATGTTGGGGTGACTTTAATAGTGATTGATGAACAGTTCGGCATTCCGACAGAAAAAAGAGATCTTCTCAAATCAGAGGCAACTGTGACCAGCGACAAGCAGTAGATTGCCGTGGGCAAACACCTTCGGTTTGCAGCGACCAAGCTGTCGGTTTCAGGCGTTGGAACCCTTGGAGCAGGCACTGAATGGTTTGGAGGAAGATCTCAAGAGCCGCCTGGGATGCGAAGGGAACGGTCCTGCACCAGCAGTCACAAGACGGGGTGCTCTCCATGGAGGTTATATAGGGGTGTCCATGATCCACTCACTTAGGAACTAAACATCATCCCTTTGTGACTCCTGGTGGTCAGTCATATAAGTGGAGAGAATGAACCAGGAGAGTGGTTTCCCACGCAATTACCTGGAAGAACGTAGGTGGATGCGTTTGAACATTCCTTCTTATAGATTAAACATGAGTAGCTCTTGAATAGTTGCTCGTTTTGTGGTCACTACAGTGCACATGTTTCAATGTGTTCTTTGTCGCCTGGGAGTTGCACTGGGAAGGGCGCTGGGCTGGGCGGACCATGTGTGACACCCTGCATTCGCGTCGGGGAGTACCAGCCCGGACCGAGTGCTTCGGGACCCTAACAGGTACCAAACACTGAGAGGTGTCTTGCTGGGGCACCTGTGGACTATGGCCACGAAACGCCGAGGGAACCCTGATCGATCTTGGACAGGTGTCACATTTTGCAGTGGTGCTCTCCCCTGTAGGTGGAGTGAAGACTTTGATGTTTTGACTTCACACCATTCCGGTTCGTGAAAGGGCCTACGTTGGTGTGCCGAATATTTTGAGCCACAAGTCCCCAGACGTTGTGATGGTCGAAACCCCAAGGGACGGATGAGACGGCGCGGAATCCATTTGGAGACTTACTTTGTTTGTTGCTGAGGCAAGAAGGAGGAGAAGAAGGACATGCACCGTGATGATGTCGCAGACTGGGAGCCCAAGGACCGCAATAGCTTGGCGCTTCGAATGCACTACCTCGCGCGTGCCAAGCCCATTGAAGATGAGCGTACCATCAAGGCTCAGCATGTGGCGCCAGGAACATGGTACTACAAGGTCCCAGTGAATGCGGAGAACAAGGACTGGCTCAAACTTCGTGCTAATGCCAGGGAGATGGTGTATGGTTTGGAGGACGATGATGCTTTCATGAACAACGTCCCTCTACGAACAAGCCGTGGAAAAGCAGGCGGCTTGAATTTCTCAGAGAACTACTTGTGCCTCTACGCAGACAGGCCAGAGAACATGTACAATGATGAGCGAGACAACTACCCATGCCTCTACAGCATTTGCGATGCTCGTCATCAGTTCCAGACAGATTTCTTTCACACCACCATCCCGTACTTCTTTGACGATGACATGGAGCTGAACCCCTACGTTGGCTTCACCCAGTGCCCGCAGTTCTTCCACGAGATGCAGGACAAGTTGGATTACTTGGACAACAACAATGCTCAGTTCTTCCGCTTGAATTGTATGATTCGAAATTGCTGCGGTGGTGTAAGCTCTTGCGGAACCAATGGTACTTGGATGATTAGGCATCCTCCAGGAGATTTGGTGTGGGAGAAAGAAAGGAGGCGAGTGCGAGATGCGGAAAGCAAGCGAAAGAGCCAGGAGTATGTGGAGCGAAGAACCTTCCACGAAAGTTGCAAAGTCGAAGACACAGCCAGTAGTCTTCAGCAAGTGCTGCGGGGTCGTCGCTCCCAGTTCATCAATCGTCGCTTGTCCTTTGGCATGGCCAAGAACCCGGTAGACTACCTGGCGGCCGTGCAGCGTTGGGCCGAAGGAGGCGTGGTCTTGTCTCTCCAGACATTCTTCAGCTGCCACAAAGGTGTCTACATGGTGTGGTTCACGCTGATCTTCTTCTTCTGCTCCTTGAATTGAACTGATTCCTCCCATTTTGGAGAAACATTTGCAGGTAGGGATCTTCGCCAAGTGAAGCTCAGCTAAGGCTTTTTGGCATCGCTCTTCCGCATGGTGGGCAAGACGGACTCCACTTGGGCGATCGTCCGATGGGGTTTGGTGGATCAGGACAGATGTTTGGAACAGGTGGGTGGAGCTTCCAGGGCCACGGACTTGGGGAGTGGTGCAGTTGTTATTCGGTGCTTGCTTCTGTCACACGTTTCACACCAATGGGCTCCAAAGCAGCCCGAAAGCGTGTACTTGGTGTGGTCACGGGGGTATATCGCGATGACCACATGGAACCTGTCCTCAACATCAGTTTGTTCTTGGGGTAGTTGGCAACTCTTGTCAGTTCAACGATCGCGCCACGACTGTTTTGCCATGTGGGACTCTTCGCTTCCCCATCGCAAAACCCGGGTTCAGCGGGACGGACGTGTGCAGGAATGGTATGACCAGGCCATCAGCCCGGTACTGGACAGCATGAAACACTTGGCGTTCCTTGGACGTCTTCGCACGCCCGGAGTTCGGAACGCCCGGCTGGTTCGGAACGCGTGCCTGGCTACAGTCCCTCTTCCATGAATCACGTGGAAGCCCCTAAAGGATGACCATGTTAGAAACAGGTGAACTTCTACTTCATTATTTCGTAGAGTGTGTCCCCCAGGCGTTCAGTGGAGGGAGATCGCAAACCGGAGAGATTCTTGTTTTGCATGCGTCGACTAGAGGCATAGACTAGATGCCCCGATGACAGAGCAGAAAATTAAGCGCTTGTGACGCAGCGGAGCAGAGGAGCTTTGTTGATGCCCCTCCACCCAGGAAGGAAAATTAATATGCAAGACACGTTGGTACATACGTGGGCAAAGCACTTACGAGACGGATTATCCAAATGAATTGGAGTTCCCGTGCTGCTTGCCAAAGAGAGTTCATCCTGAACGTTCCGACCCCAAGAAAGACTCGGTGGGAACCACCCCAGGGTGGTGTGTGCCACCAGCACGCCCCCTGTGCAGCGAGGTTGGTGGCTCGAAGCGAATATTTCAAGCAAAATCCGGAGCTGCTGGAGACCTACCTCACCATGACCCTCCAGTTCATCAGCTGGGTTTTGACCTTGGACCCTCAGTACTTTTAGTATGTTTTGACTGCAGGAACCGCCTAGTAGGCCCAGTGGTCAGATTTTCGGAAGGAACCTGGAGACTCCAGCAACAGCTGAGCGGATCAACAGAGAAATGGTTTCTGGGTCCGGGTCAGTCACACCCCCAAAAAGAAACTGGAACCTTCCAAAGTCATTTGTTCAATATTTATGTTTCGATAGACACATTTTTGCTGGATTGTTTGTGGGACCATGCTGACCACACCCTGTGTTGCAAATCTCTTCGCCCCTGGTGGGTCATTTGAACATGGAGGTCTTCTTCCTCTTGCTGGTCTTCCTCTTCACTGAGCTTCTGAAGTTAGTCCAGAGGACTTGCGGCCTCCGGCTTCCAGTGATTTGGCCAGATGAGATGCGATGGTGGGGACGGCTCCTGATCTCCATGGATAACTTGACCTACTTCTTGTGGTTTTGGACGGCCTTCTTCTGGACGCTTGGTGGAACAAGAGGGCTTCACGAGTTCCTATAGCCTGTGGTGCTTTTGGGTGAGCATGTGTACACATATATGCATATATAATTGTATATGGTCTATGCACACATCATAACCCACCGGGGTGGGACAGACGGGCTGACAGACCTTTGTTCCAGGATTGGTTTCAACTACTACAGCATCTTCGCGAAGCGCACGTACCACTTCTCATCCACGGGCATGTTTTCCTTCATGCTGATCGTGCAGATTTTGAGTTGGGGCATGATCATTGCATCGTCTTTGCGCTACACGCTCTCTACCAGTATGGAAGCCAACGAAGTGATTGGGCTGTCCATGGACAACATTTGGCGATCCACCCAGCTCTTCTACATCTCCGCACCTTTGCTGCTGTATTCCATCATCAAGGGCATTCAGGATTACATGAGATACCAACTTTACGGTGAAGACATCAGCTATTGGGTTGGTGGTGACCGTGGTGTGATGTCTAAGAACTTGGTGAAGTATTGGACGTTGCTCCTGATTTTGGGCGCTATCGGTGCATGGATTTACTACCTCATTGAGGGCCGGAAGCACATGGGTGTGCTGTCAGCGGTGATCATTGTATCTTTGATTGCTCTTGATGTGCTTCACCCTTGCACCTACCTGTGGGTGGAAAAGACCAAGTTGAAGCCAGCACAAGCGGCCAAGCTTACTTGGAGTCAAGCCTTGGTGACTCGTGGATGGTGGGAGTTGATGATCAGCAACTTGATCCTGAATGAGACTGTGACAGGTCTCATGAAGTGGCTTGGGCCAGCGTGGTTTGTCCTCATGCCCTTCTTGACCCTCTTCATGCCCTACATCGGTGTGAACCAGGCCTTCATGATGATCGGCTCGACGACCAACCGCTGAGCGCCCCGGTTGGCCTCCCAATCTGCCACTGGTCCGTATGACTTATGACTCATGACACTATTGGTCACATTTGGGCATTTACATGTTAATGAGGATCGATCATCATGGGCATTTGCCGTTGATTTAAATATGACAATGAAGGGGCTACTGCACTAGTACTGCAATTCCACAGTCAATGTGTATACGTGCACAAGTTCCACGTACTGTATTTTGTTGTCTCGCGGTGTTTCGCTTTTTAGCAATAGCGTGTTGGAGTTCTTCGGGCACCAGAGCTGGCAGATTGGAGCCCGGCAGTCCTTTAGGAGCGTCAAGGTGACCAGCCAAGGATGTTTCGAGTGCAGGACATCCACAAATCATAAGTGGACTCTTCAATCTGCCCACAACCCCCACAACCTCATGTTTCGCGCTACCCTCTTCAGAGGCCCCCTGAATGTTAGGGGGTCACCTCAGCTGAAGGATCGGCCTCTCAACGAAGGCAAGGCTCGCGCTTGAACCTCAAAGCTCCCAGCAATGTGATCCAAAAGCACTTCAATCACGCATAATTAACCCTTCAAAGGCAACAAAATGATACCAAATGCCTTCGGGGCCCAAATGGGCCAGAGAAACGAAGTTGAGAGGTCCATCTGACTTAGATCGATCCAGCTCTTGAGATGGGGCGGAGTCTCGGAGTGGTGGTGCTGCAGCAGTGACGCTGGCACGATCCTGCGCAGCCTTGGGGTAAGCTTGCTTCCAATGTGCTGGGGAACCATCGAGGACAACAATAGGACCAGATGAAAACACATGACAACATATGCAATAATTTATTGGTATTGTAGCAGTATAACAATAACAGCTGACGTTTCGTAGTGACATTTTCTAGCTGTGTCGTGGATCACGCTGCCAATTGGAAAGCAATACCTCACCTCAGGGTTCGTGCAAGCTCCGCCTCCCATGAACACAGGAATCAGTTTGAAAGCCTCGCGACGTTTTCCCCGTCGGACGTCCGACGATCAATTTCCAACCTGAGATGCAAGATGAAAAGTCTTGGGAAAGGAGTCTTGGGCATCCGATGGCCATGGCCGGCGACGGCCGGAGTGGGGCTCACGTGGCAGTTTCCGGTTATGGTCGGCCGTCTTGGACTGGCGCTATTTGCAATTTTCGGCCCAAGGGGAAGAGGAGCCCCCAGACATTGTCAAGTGAAACATGCGACACAACTCCAAGATTTTCCAAGTGCTTTTTGTTTACTACCCTGAGTTTTTGCTGGCAACACGGATCACAGCCATGAGCCATCGGCAGCTGATCTACGACAGTGACTTGCCTGGGCGTTGGTGAGGTGACCATGGTTTTCAGAAGATCGCAAGAAGATCCATGGTCTTGAGATGTTTTGAGGCAATTTTGGCTGGTAGCGTTTGCCAGAAAGCAGCCTGAGAACCAGCCTGGGAACCTCCCACTCAGCCCAGCTCTCGAAACCAATCAAAACCAGTTGAACCGTTGGAGCCCACGGCGCCGTCCAGGCGGTCCATGCGTACCGTTTGCCGTTTGGCTCAGACAGTCATCCTGCAAGTGGTTTTCTCGGCGGAGGTGGATCCACCGCCAGAGCGGTTTCCGGAAACCCGCTGATGCCATAGAATAATAGCATAGAATTCTTGTATACATGTCTTAGAAGTTCTTATATATGTATTTGTATATATATAATATATATATATATATATGCAAGTAACACAAAGTAACATAAACCAGCATTTTCAATCTCAAATGAGCCTCCCTGAGATGCTAATTATATATATATATATTATACATATTACTATATAATATATTCCATTGTAGCCTTTGTACATGCGTCAGCGTGTATGTATGCATTGATCCATATTTATATCCCACAAAGCCCGTGCCGGGCCCGTTGATCTCTTCGGCCTATGCGCCGGTCCTCGGAGTCCTCGTCCTATGGACCGGTCATCTCCACTCGGACCTCTCCAGCCATGCCATCCTGCCAGCCCTGGGTCGGTTGGCACACCGCGCTTCACGTGGCGCCGGTGGGACCGGTTTCACGTCGCGACCCTTCATGTGGCCCGACAGGGTCTGTCTTGGGGCTGGGCAATGAGTGCAGCTCTGGCACGTGCGGCGCTGTGTAGCGCCGGGCGCGGGCGGAGCCACAGGAAGCGGGTGTTGCGTGCGATGTTGCCACTGCTGCCGGATGAGGATGGGTGAAACCAAAACGTCAACGTACGACAATCAGAAACCAATCGATTTGTTTGTTCTTTGCCAAGGGGATTGGTGCATTGGGCATTTGGGGAGGCCTGCGATTTTGAAGCCAGGCTGGTGCCATTTTGATGCTTCCCTCCATCACCACGGTGACCTTCTACGAGGGCGAACCTCGAAACGAGATTCTGAGAGACATGACCAAGGAGCTTGTGCTGGCGAACCCATGGCTGGCAGGTGAATTGTGTCGCGATCCAGCAGGAGCAGCATGCCTGAAGCTGCCCGTCTCGATTGAGCTGACGCGACATTATAAAGAGACCACTCGTGAAGAGCTGAGGATGGACATGCCCTTGATGAAAATGCGGAAGGCCTTGAAGGATGTCACGGTGAAGCCTGGTATCGATTGCTTCGAGTCCTCCAAGCCTCTCTTCTTCGTTTCACTACTTCGCTGCGGTGTTTCCTCCTTTGCCTTGGTCGTGTCCATGAGCCATGTCCTGGGCGACGGCTTCACTTTCTATCGACTCTATGGTGCCTTGGATCAGGGTTTGGCCACTGTGGCTGGCGTTCAGTATGCTGCGGGCGAGGGGCCCGCCCGCGCCCGCTTGAATCCCAGGAGGAACTTGAGCTTCCCTTCCGTGATGTCCAGTTTACTAGGCTGGGCGTGGCAAAAGTTGCCGTCGGCAAAAGTTGCTATCACAGAGGAACATAGCACCCATATTAATGCACATACATATATATATATATGTTTACAGCCAAACGAGGGCCTTAGCCTGCACTTCTCGTGCATCGACTTCGTTTGAAATATGTTTATAACTATTTTCTCGGGCGAACTACTCTACTGTCAATAGTGTTGGATACAGTCGTTGAGACAACAGGTTACACATATAGCTAATATATATAATTATATATATATAACTATGTTTGCAATTCTAGAAAGCAATTTAACAGTAGTTTTTTCTTGACAAAGGAGGGAAGAAGAAGAAGAAACACCATCTACTAAGAATCTACTAGCAACTACTAGCACCACCATCTAGTTCGCCTCCCCCAATAGGCACTATGGGCACCGGTCCGACCCAACATGATGGTCATGTGATTTTCTGACCTGTTGGTCACCAGGAGCGCAGAAAGTGAGCTGGCCCTCTTCGCGGTGGGCTCATTGGGGTGCTCGGCTCGATGGAGCCATAAGACCCAGGCATCGTTGGCGTGCCTGGTATGTGGATATGGCTTGGCTGGCTGAGGAGAAGCGCTTGAATACTGATGATCACGGCTATGTCTCAAGCAATGATGTGCTCACATCTTGGTTTCTCACTAGGGGTCGCTTTGACTATGGCATCATGTCCGTGAATTTTCGTGGACGCGCCTGCCAACTCGATGGGACCAATGCCGGAAACTACAAGGGAGGCCTCGCCTTTTGGCCGGAGGAGTTTTCGTCTCCACGGAGCATCCGGCAGGCCATTCAAAATCGCTTCCGCACCGAGCGTGAGGATGTGCCGGGATTCCTTCGAAGCGTGCTGGGTCGCGTGGGTGTCTCCACCAATTGGGCATCCGTTGGTCGGGAACTACACTTGGAAAACTGTCGTCAACTCTTGCACCTCCCAGTGCTGGGGGACGTTCAGGTGCATGGCGCCATGATCATTTTTCAACCTTTGCCGAATCAACTGGGCATTGTGCTGGGTGAGCGGAAGCGAAGCGTGCGTGCTCCAAAGCTGGGTGTGTCGGGGCGAATCTGTTGATGGCTGTCCCAGTGGCTGCCCCGGCTGTCCCATATCAGCTGCTTTGAACTTGACCAACTTCCAGTCGAAAACTGCACGAACCCCACCCCGGGCAGCTAGAGGATGCTAGAGGAGTTGACGTGCTTCCGGGAGATGCCATCAAGAACGTGGCCTTAACCACCAGCAGGCACTTGAAAAGTGGCTCCTGAGCGCGTGGATGAGACGCACTATGCAGGGACGGTTCTGATGCGCGGTGAACCGAGAATGGTTCCTCCCGTTGCCAACTCCTTTAAAGGCCCCCCAGTTCATGGCCCCTTGTTCGGAACCCACCATGAACTGATAGAAGCAACAATGAGAGATGTGCTTTGATGTGATGTGTTTTCGCTCCTCACGATGGACCGGAACTCTTGTACTGTAACCAGCATATCATTGCAAAATTTATTGCACTTGAGCTTATGATTGCCATCAGCCATCAAGACCCCTTTTTTCACACATGTCATGCCAAGACCTCAGACATGCGGATCATATCTACAGGTGTTTTGAAGAGCTGGGGAACCTTTTGCAGGACGTGACTGACAACTTCCTTTGTGTGAATGTTTCCAAGGTGTTTGCAACCAAACAGGTCATCCGTGGAAGAGAGGACTGGTCATCCGTGATCCCAAGTCGAAGCTACCAGCCTGCAAACCTGGGGCCTCCCATATAGGTGTTTCATGGTGTTTCATGGTGTTTCTCGTTGTTCTTCTCTGTGCATGTCCGCCCTCTCATGCTCGACCACACCTCATGGTCTCAGCCTGCCCCAAGGCTCGACGGACCCCGAAGAAGGCTCCACCGAAGAATCCGATGATGAGACCATCGACCACACCTTGGTGAACTTGAAGCAGCCACGCGGGGGACACTCAGTGGACGCGCCAAGACTGACGCGTTTCCGCGCCGTTCGGGGCGGAGTGAGAAAGAACACTTAAAGTGAGATCACCATGAAGGGCTTTGATCCAGACCATGCACCAGTCAGATCCAGTTAGCCGATTAAGTGGGTTACGGTCCATGTCACGGTCGGCAGTTGACACAGCACATTCCATGTCTCTTTTCGAGTGTGTTTTGTTTGATCCGAACTCTCCGCGGGGTCGGATCCCGTCATCCTCCCATCAGTCCTCCTGTTCATGTGGTATCGTATGGCTTTACAAACACAGCCATGTCCTTGAACACGTTTGAACACCAATGTGTGGGTAATTTCACGGGTTTTTGAACAGTTGACCAAGTTGTTGCTAGGCACTTGAGATTACTTTCTTTTGGTGAAACATTATAGGCGTACCGTATGAGTCTGAGTTGCAGTCTTGTTTGCATCATTTCTTCGTGGTGCTGCACCCAAATATGGTTGACTTTCCCAGGCAGAACGTGCCTCGTAACCGGTGTATCAAAGCCGTTTGTTGCTACATTGCTTTGGGGTGCTGATCTTGCTTGCTCGTCGGTGAATTGGACGGACTACATAGGTCAGCCTATTGACGTCTCGACATTGTCCTTGGTCTTGTTTAGTTGCTGAGCTCTCATTGGCCAGTTTGGGTTTCTATATGATGTATACACCATTATACACCACTATACACCTATCTCCCGTTATATCCAGGTGGTTGTGAATTCTGCTAAATCCAATCGTTCATGAGACCGACTAGTCTTCGAGCACTCCGCCGCTTGATGTCGCCTCAGGCGGGTGCCGCCCACCCTTGACGGCGGCATGTTGTTGCCACGTGTGCTATGTTTGCCAGTTCTTGATTTTCATGGCACCTTGGCGGAACAAAAGCAAAGAAAACATGCAGACAGACAGCTCAGCTGGGCAATGCACATTATCAGACGATGAGGCTTCTTAGTACATGGTCAGATTTTGGCGCTTCCTAACAGAACACTGGCTGTTTGGCACCCTAAATTATAGTCTCTTTCATTTTGCTTGCGTTCCGCTTTCATTTTGTTTTCATCATGCTTTCGTGCTGCTTTCATTTCGCTTAAACTTGCTTTCGTTGTTTTTTTCATTTTGCTTTCATTCTGCATTCATTTGCTGTGATGTTGCTTTCATTCGCTGTAGTTTGGCTTTTTTGTGCTTTCATGTTGTTTTCAATCTGCCGTCACCTAAACGAGGGGCCAGAATAGAGAGAGTCAGAGGGTCTATATATATTTGTGGCTCCTGGGCACTTGTAAGGGCCACCCTATGGCACCCTTTGCAAGACTGTTGGGGTAGCCGTTCATATGAGGCGTTATTAAACACATGCCGCACTGCCAAACATGGGCTGTGCCACTAACCGGACTCGAAGCTTGTCGCGCTATTTGAAACATGGATTTCGATAGTTCCAGGTTGAATGATGTTGGATTTGCAAGAACATGTTAAAACACACATGTAAAGGAACACATGCCAAAACAATCCAGGAGCCAGACAAAAAATGCAGCATATTTGTTTGAAGCTTTTGGGTGAGATTTGGGACCTGAACTTTGTAAGCATGGATCCTGCTTTTAAATTGTATATGCAGCTCCAAAACTTTGATTTGTTTGGGTAAGATCATATACATTGGGTTTGTATGGGTTTGTCCTATTACCTGTAACAGTCAGTAAACAACTATCACTATTATAAGTTTACAGAAAGGTTCTTACTACAGTAATCATTAATCATCATCATCCACTGTTGCTGGTAATAGGATAGATCCATAAAGTTTACAGAAAGATACTGGCGGTCTTGCACTTACAAGAATCTTTGCTTACCTACCTGATACAAATTAAACACTTGGTGATTTGTCAAGTTTACGAACACCACGACTGCAGCAAGTGGAACCACCTGGAACCTTTGCGAGAAATCTCTGGTGAACGGCCGATGCAAGGTGGTGTTTCCTTTGTGGACGAAGTGGTTGGCCTCTTGACGCTTCAGAACTGACAGGGGTGACTTAAGTCATTGTCAGATAGACTTCTAGATCCAACACAATAAGCAGCTGGCGAAGGGAGGGCCATAAAGGAAACCATGTTGCAATCCCGAAGTTGGTTGGAGGGTTTGGGTTCCGAGCTCTCCACTGGTCCTGGGTGGGAGGGCGCAACTTCGGGACTTCGGCTTGGAGTTCCCGGCGCGAGTTCTTGATGGTGTTTGCCAGTTTGCCTTTGTGGGGTCATTTCGAGTCCTTCATAGTCCTTCCACATGCCAGACCTTCAGTCGCTGGATCCCGAGCCCAGCTGTCGCGCGCTTTGCGCGCGAGGTGACGAATCCAATGCCTACGCAGTATTGGCATGAGCAGCTGGGAGAAGATTTCGTGTAGATGAAAGATGATGAAGGGGCAGGAAACATGACCCTCAAGCCTTGGCATGAGATTTCAGCCAAGGCCCAAGGCTTGGGGGGTCCCTAATTGCTACACCAGCCGACAGGGGAGATTCCAGATTCCAGGCAAAAAAGGTTGACATCGCTGAAAAGAGTGGTGATAGTTCCCAGCTTCCTGAACAAATCTAAGAACAACAATCCGAGCTTTAGAATGCTCAGGTGCCAGAGGGCCCTCCATCATTCATGTTTAGCACTAAATGACACTGTTGAATCGGTTAAGAGGAAAGAGCCTCTTACAACTCGAGCGAATTTGAACAATGAAACTGCTCTTGAAAACAATGAAATGTCAATGCGCCATGATGCATTGCTCGGATGATCCGCTGCAAACCTCATTGTACTGTTTTGGGTGTCCATTCGGTTCAGGAACTTTGAGACAACCCGACTGGGCAATGTTTCTTTTACTGACAGGAGCTTCATCAGTGCTTATGTTGGCCAGGCTCACCCACAGTCGGACCAGATATCAAGAGCGCGACTAGTGATCCTGATCATGCCTTGTTTTGCCTCCCACCCGAGTAGGGGTTACCTGTTGCCACTTAGCTGGTTACTTGCGGTTTATGCTCGGTAGGTGGGCCTAATAATGCCTACGGTACCTGCTGCAGAATGTCCAAGCCAACTTGGCACTATACAAGTTCTTTTGATCCTTTTATTACCTTAGTTCTTGTTGGTGTTTTGGCCTTCGAGCCCAGGCAATATCCCAAGTGGCCGTCGATCGCAGCGGTGGGAGGGCAAAAGCTGGCCGAGCAGAGCCCAGTGCTTCGGAGGAAGACGCACCTTCAAGACACCACTGTTAGAACACCGAATGCCAACCTGGTACTGATGATCACATATGATCACCCCTTGCACCTGGTACTGATGGATCTCCTTCTCACTTAGCTGATGGAACAATCGCCTTGGATCAGCCGCACGGGTCAAATGTGAGTTGGGCGCATCCTCCCAAAACACACGGCGCAGCCCAGGCGAAGCCGTGCGAAGGGCGCTTGTGGGTCATGGCACCGGGCCGAACGGTGTTTTTCCGAATGGACGACCGACATGAACCGAATGGTCCACCGAATGGTCCACCAGGTGGTTTTGACCCACAGCCAACCAAATGTGTTAACTTTCAGCCCGGACGAGTGGATGGTTTTCCTCTCGGGGTCAAGTCCCAAGGACTAGTCACGTTTGTGTCGGCCATTTCCAACAATTGATCCAAGACTCTTGGACACTTGAGGGAATACATGAATCATTTTGGGCCAAAAACTCCTTCCTCACTGAGGTGCAGTACCCGATTGAGATGTCTCCTATCCCGCCGCTCGGCGGAAAGCGGAAAGAAACCGGGTCTGACAAGCAAACATAATCCACACGGACTCCCTTTGACGTCATTCACATGGAAATGGAAAATGTGCCGTAGAAAGACGATGTTTCTCTACTAACAGGGGCTGTCCCCTTACATGTGATGTGTTCGTCGGACCGTATACATACTTATGTGCCATTGTTGTATTATACCCATATGGCTATCCAAGACATCGGTTTGACAGGAGTGAGCTGGCAACGACACATCAGGTTGTTTCGATGCATACATCTCCAAACTCTTGGCTTGTGGCTCCGGTTTTGGTGGCAAGCATAGGTTGACAGGGATTTGTTTGACAAGAGTCCTATGCTTGGGGACAAAAATGCAGTACTCTAGTGACTCTAGTTCTACACGGACGTTTGCTTGGCCTTGGTCCGTACACGGACATGCCGGCCGAGCTGGCAAACTGGTTGGCGGCATTGCCTGTGGAGAATGAAGATAGTTGCCTCCATGGGTGCATAAACGTCCAAACATTGTCCATGGAAGACAGAGAGCAGCTTCAGCAGTCTTTGGAGTTCAGAGTTCAGGACGCGCCTGAAAGAGGGCTTGCTTTGGGTAGCCCCAGCAGGTGGATTTGATGTGCTATAGCCCATGCAGTGGAAAGCGTCAAGTGCTACATTTCATGGGAGCAGGTAGGTGAGGTCGGTACACACCAAATTGCATTTCAGGGTCGTCCCCTCAATTCTTCATCAGATCAGGTCCCCTTTCAGCCGGCGTGTCTGAGGCAGCAGTCGGACAGCTGCAATTATTCCTGCTCCTCGTGGCGGGGCTACCGGACCAACGAGATGAACTTCCGCGTGAGCTTGACCTTGAACGACTCCATCTTGGCCAAAGGCCAAGTGACGAGTCGTTTTTTGCTAGGCTTAGTTTGCTGAGACTCCAGGTTGGACAGGTTGTTCTTTGGCGGAGGTCCACAGGTTCAGTTCTAAAGTCAGTCATGCTATGGAACACACACACACACAGAACACCCATGTTGACATTCTGTTGTTGGGATTTAAGACTGGTTGTTGCTGAGACTTGTCAACTGAGCCTCAAAACATATACATATATATAACTATTTGAGAGTGTCCTATTACCTGTAACAGTTGGTAAACAATTGCATCATGATACTATTTTTGAGCAAGACCTGTACTAACCATCATCATCCACCGTTACTGGTAATCGGATATGCCCAATATATACCGCTCATCATCACAAGAGGAGCACTTCTTGTTTTGTTCCACTTGACACCGCTCTGTCCCTCGACACGTGAATCCACCCGTCGGTAGCACCCAAGCGGTGATGGATCCTGAAGGAGATGGTTATAGTTATAGGTCCATATAGATCATATAGGTCCTAAGATTGACAGATTCCTCTCTTTTCAGAGCTGTTTTCAGAGAGTTTGTGGAGGATTTCAATATTTGTTATGTTTTTTTGGAGTGTGGCTTGTATGTCTTATGCGACCCACCTTTGTCTTGGTGCTTTAAGATTTAACAACCCAAATGAATGCAGGTGTCAGCCTACTCGGAATGTGTTGCCCAACATGTGCGTCACAAATCTCGGACCCTGCAAATTCCACTGACTTGTCGTCTTGCCGGACACGTGGACCGAATCACCAGTTTCGGTGGAACTGGATTGTTCATACTGGAACTCCGGCAGGCTATGTTCACACCGTTTACCCGGTGCTCCTGGCATCCGCCGACTTCAATGCGCTTTGACTTGAGGGGAGCATGGACCACCTAAGCACCCGATCACCTGAGTCCCAGCACTCCAGAGTTTGGGCTGTACGTCATGCGTATGTGTTGGGCGAGCATTGAGCATATACCTTGGCAGAGCATGGTATCAAGTTCTTCTTTTAATTGCTATAAAATTCATGGTCTCTGGACAGGTTGGTGTATCTTAAGGTAGCTTTTGAAGGTGAGGACTGCCAAAATAAATAATGAAAGTGCAATTTGTATGTTATTTTGGCAGAAGTGGTCCACCCTACCTTGATTTGGGCTAGTTGATGCAAGCGTGTGCTAGCTGGTGTTGGCACCAGCTGTATATAGTTTCGCTCACATCCAAAAAATTGCAAAGCATGATTTGTTTAAACAAACAAACAAGCAAGCAAACAAACAAACAACCAACCAACCAAACAAACGAACAAGCAAGCAAACAAACAAACAAACAAGCAAGCAAGCAAACAAACAAAAAAAAACACGTTTGGAAAGCACGCATTTGCCAACCAGGACCCCCAACAAGGTTGTTAATGGACACCAAATATCCTCTAAGGTTTTTTGTTCTACACACCCCTTTGGGGGGGAGTTCTGGAGTATGTATAACGTCGCCACATGATGCAGTGGCACTGTTGATGTGTGTCGATCGTCCAGAGGACTGGTGGGTGGTGGCTGATCGCCGCTTCGCCTACCCACAGCCCTTTTGGAGAGCAAGGACGGAGTGGAAGATCCTGGTGTGAAGTGTTTGGAGCTGCACCTGCTGATGTGGGATTCAAAGATGAGCTAAGTCTAAGTTGGAGTTGGAATTGCTGCCTGGGAAGACGTTCCTTTTCATTGCAAAGTGTGTCTCACTTTATATACATGTTTTTTTTGGATGATTGTTGGATATTGTTGGCAACATGAGTTTAGTGGCCATTACCTGACGAGGAACCATAAACCGGTCATCGTGACCTGCCGCTGACCCGCACCGTCACGTCACCCGGGTTTCCTCACGCAGGACCGCGGAGGCCGGCCACGCGTACACGTATACCTCGGACACCTGCATCGTCCCACCTTCAAGCCCGGATTCCATCAGCAACTGGACGGAGGTAGTGAAGCGACACCGGGATGAGGTGGAGGGTGGGACACCGGGTACGGACCTTTCATAGCAGAGGATGAGTCATGTTTGTGAGCAAGAGAGAATGGAACATGGGCGACCTAGACTATAACTGAAGTGCATGATTCTTCGTTGCTTGATCACTTGCTTTTTGGTTTCAACCGCTATAAACCGCTTCAACATCCGAACAGTTGGCACATCGGCACCATCGGACGGTCGGACTCTTTCAGCATCGAGCCATGCACGCTCTCCAAGTCGTCGTCATGTTTAGTCCGGGTCGCTGGATGTGGTCCCGCCGGTCGCTGAGTCGCTGAGGTGAGACCACCTCGGGGCAGTACGTCTTGGCCTGTGTGGTTTGGAGCCCCACGAGTTTCGCCACGCTGGAGGCCATGACGGAGCGCCTTGGAGAAGACAGAGCTAGCGGCAGCGGAGGATGGACAGTGAAGGATTTTGTTGGGTGGAGTGCTTGGAAGAGTAGATGTGATCATGTGGGGAGCGTTGTTTGTAAGATCTATTCCAGGAAATAATTTTGAAGAATCTTAATTTGTTATTTGTGTTTATGTCTTCGTAGTCCGAACTTAACGGAATGGTCATGGCATACCAGGATAGTGGCGTTTGGCGTGTAATGAATGCCGTGCCTATTTCAATCAGCCATTTCTGGTCCACAACCTTTATGCCTCTTTGCATCCCTATGGCCCTATGCGCTAGTGACCACTGTGAGCAATAGGCTCCAGGAGAACTGAGGGTGTATATATATAATATAATATATATATATATATGATATCCATTGTATAGATATAGTCTGTATTTAAGTGGGCCAGTCCACATGGTTCTTCCAACTCCCATTGATCGTCCACCATCCTTCTTTCGCCTCTTCGGTACGGTGATCGGAGCGCGGACCCGTTCCCAGGCTGGAGGATTCGGACCTGGGCACTCATTGCGTGAGCGCAGGCGGTTGGACCGGAGGATGGGAGGCGGAGGCCATGAATTCCTGCGGCCGCGCAGGAGCGCTGCCTGCGGCAGTAGGAGAGACTGGAGCAAGAAGGCCAACATGGGTAGGAGCACCTTTGGAAGTGGCATGCCCCTTCCTTCTAAACCAGTACTGGCCGAGTCCGAATCCACCCGAATCCACCTGCCTTTTCGCCGCTTGCGACTGAACAAGGGGAAGGGCCAATAGAGGTCGGTTCAAGTGGCTCCGACTCTCCAGTGATTTGAGTGCCATACCATACCAGCGGAGGTTGAAGAACCCTAGTTCGACTATCCTATACGTACCCCAGGTGACGGGTCCTATTTCAGGTCACTTAACCTCTGTTGGTAAGTCCAGGGTCTTTGGTTGATGTGAGCACCTCCAATGGAGGTGCCCGTGCTTCACCGCGCGCAGGTGGTGTCTGTGGCTGGACATGCGACTCGGTCATCAACAGCGACTTGCTGGAAGGATGCACCGCGGACAGCACCATTGAGATGACATCGTCCTCGGTGGCCGGGCGGGAGATTCCAACCGCCAACTTCAAAGGCTCCATCGAAATGAGGGCGCCTTTGCCTTCCCAAGATGCATGTTGGTTTTTCTGTGCCATGTGCCCCCTTTGAATCCAGCGGCGCGACTCCAGCGGGCGTTGGTAGCTATTGGTGTGTTTTCTGTTTATAACTGTGTTTTCCTTTCCCAGCTGTGGTTCCAGAAAAGCCCACTGCAGGAGTGTTTGAATGGTGGCTTGAATGGGGTGTGTGACACGGCCACTGAGAAGTTCAAGCAGTGGACTTGCCACAAGTGCCTCTACGATCCCCGAACAGAAGATGACATGATGCTGGGGCGCCAGGCGGAGTACGTTTTGAGGGTTCCATGAGCCTCATTGTTGGAGGTCAACAAGAGGGTGCGTGTGAAGATATAGGTTCCGGTTCCCCAATAAACACATGTATGCTTTCCGATGCGTTCTGTAAGAGGGGATGCACTTTTCTATTTTGGTGCGCTCACTATCATGTATTGGATATGTATTTGTGTTTTACTGTATTGCCCCCCTGCATCACCACATCCAAGGAGGAGGAGATTGCAGATCATCCCAGGCATCGGTGGCTTGCCAGCGGGCCTACCTGGCTTGGACACTGACCCCGATACACCAGCTACTCCTGGCGTGCCTGGCTTGCCTGGTATTCCTGGCCTTGGTGATGAAACAAGTTCTGGCGTGCCTGGCCTTGGTTTTCTAATCCGCTGATCGTTTTGACTTGTTTCTTCCATGACCCCCCAAATTGCGCAGTGTGGTTGATTAAGACCACGCAAATCGAAAACTCAGGTTTGTAGGTGTTCCTGGGGGGAATGGTTCTTCTAGGCCCAAAAGCATCCAAGGAAGGAAAGGGACCCATGATCTACACCTCCCTTCCACGCTTCCATGTGACCGTCAGTGGCGCAACGGCACCCTCTGGCACTGATGTCTTCAGTCAGCCTCGGGTCTTCATTTTGCAGTCTTCGCGGTCCAACAAAGGAAAGTGGAAGAAACTCTATAAGCACAACTATGGTATGACATCTCCACCAGAGGCTGTGGGTAAGGACAACAAGCCGCTAATCAAGCAGGATCCCGATTCCTATGATGAAGAGATGCCACCAGTGCAAGATCCCGTGAGTGCTCATGCGATGAATTTGAACCAACAAAATCGTTTGGAACTGGATCCCACCTGGTGCTATGGCCGACAGGGGCCCCTTTACTTGGTGGCCTGTGCAGTGAATAGCACTTTGTATGAAGGTAGCTTCTCCAGGTTCAAAGCAGGACAGCAGGCTGCACCACCACCATTCAATGATCGAGACTGCTCTGATTGCTTTAGTTAGTTTTCAAGTTTTTGCCGGTCATTCCCCCCTGTCAGCTTAAACCTTTGGTTATGGTATGTTATAGTATTTTATAAGTTCTTATGTGTTTCATAATCTTTGGGCGTTTTGATGTGAAGTCGACTCTCCAAGCTTCTCCAAGTCGACTTTTTTGACTGGCACTCTCGGCTGAACCTCAGGATGTGTGGCAGTCTCTGGGCGTTGTGCTTATGCGTGCCAGTCTGAGCAACGACCGTTGGCCAATTGTACCGAGGAGCCGGGCTTGTACGGGGCAAGCACGAACGGCTGGGAAGGATTGGTAGGTAAATCAATGAGACATGGTGGAGGGTTTTACAAACACACATCTTTAAGGTGGAAACATCACCTTTCACATCTATTTCGAGGCGGCAAGGTGAAATGAAGGAACCTTCAGGGAACTTCTATCTGGTTCCTCAAACACTCCAGCATACAGGGCAAACCCGCCTTGGAGAAACAACATCTGACTTGCCTCCAGGATGGCTACATCAACCAGACTGCCTTGGTTGGATATGTTGGCTATGAGAAGAACCAGACAGCACCTGTGTGGCTCTTTTGCTATGTCTTGTTGATCGGCTTCGGCGTCAAAGCAGTCATGCTTTGCCCAGGTGTTTTCTCTCCATATCCCCACTTCCGGAGGTATGACCCCGAGCTCACCGCAACCAGGCTGAAGTAGATAGTTTGTTGGAAGAGGTAGTAAAGAGACATCACATGACATCACTTTTCCGTATTGCGCTATACAAGACATAGGCAAACCTGCGCTACATCACCGTATGTATTCCCAGTGCCGGAGAGAACAAGTGCGTGGTGCTGAGAAATGTCATTGGTGCAATTGGCTGCATGCCCAAAGACTGCCGTTGCCGATACCATGTTACCTTTGTCGACGAGGGTCACCGAAATGAGCAGAAGGTCATGTTCATGAAGCTTGCAGCTGTGATTGACCGCATCCCGAACTTCGGTGGCGTCAGCTATGAGGAGAACGTGAGCAGGTTCTTCCAGACATGGGTGGAAGAGACCAAGAAGATGGACTTGGCCAAGGTGAAGGATGGAGCTAAGGGAGAAGATGTAGAGCCACAATACATGGTGACTTGGTGTGCATTTGCTATATTTTGATAGTACTAATTATATGCTTGAGTCTTGAGTCTGAGTCTTTCAGAGCTCGCACTCAAATAGAATCTCCGCATCCTTCAGTGTCACTCTCCCCCAACCTCTCCACCTTTTTCGCAGCCAGTGCCACCCTGCCCTATTGGGACCCAGGTGCGCATGTGTGGTAAGAGCTCTTTGAAGAAGTTGCGTTCAGAAGCTTGGCATTTGTCTCGCTAGGTCTCTTATGTTCGTGTACGTTCGTATCATATCATTTCAAACACGTTTCCTCGCTTTCTGAATTTTACATAATTTTACTAGCAAGGATATATATATATATATAGAGAGAGAGTTCTGTATATATATATATATCACAAACTGATGACCTACACGAATGGGTGCAAAAACTGAGGGTGGAGGAATCGAATGAATCGATCGTGTATTGACCCCGCATCGCTTTTCACAACGTCTCACGACTCACGACGTCCAAAACGGATCCCAGGAAGGCGGTTGGGGCTCCATGCCCCCCTCTGCGCTGGAGCCTTTGGATCAGGCGCTGAATGTCTTGGAGGAAGATCTGAAGAGCCGCTTGGGTGGCAGACCCAGCGCAAGCACTCGCTAGGTGCAGCAATGAACTTTATTGCATGAACACACACCACTGGGTTAAGGTAGTCATTCCTAGATAATAGTTCATTGCTAGATAATAGTAAACTAGTAATACACATCAACATGCTACCGTGACCCATACTTTCTAGTCAGTCGTTTACTTTGGGATCAGTTGTGAGAGTCTGAATGGGTGTTTGTTTTTTCATGGGGCGTGTTAACCTACCAGGAATATGCAGTACAATGATGTACAATGCAGTTTCCATAAAGGCTACGAAGGCTAGACTAGACACAATAGCAGCAGCAATGTATACATTATATATATAGTTTAGTATAATACAATCTAATATGCATGTATGTATATATTTACATACTGTACCTTTAAGTTCAGCCCAGGAGAACTCATGGCAGGATACTGCAATAATTGCTTCATTACAGAGCTGATTTGCAGGATCCGTAGCAATGCATCCCGCCATGGTGTCCTTGTGTGTGATTTTCCGGGGTGGTTAAAACGTGCAAGGTTCTTAAAGGCAAAGCCCCCCATGTTATGTCAGGGTTGTGTCGGGGTTGCACCTTGACTGATCGCAATCGCTGCTGAGGCAAGAAGGAAGAGAAGAAGGACATGCACCGTGATGATGTCGCGGACTGGGAGCCCAAGGACCGCAATAGCTTGGCGCTGCGAATGCACTACCTCGCGCGTGCCAAGCCCATTGAAGATGAGCGTACCATCAAGGCTCAACATGTTGCGCCCGGAACATGGTACTACAAGGTCCCAGTGAATGCAGAGAACAAGGACTGGCTCAAACTTCGGGCCAATGCCAAGGAGATGGTGTATGGTTTGGAGGACGATGATGCTTTCATGAACAACGTCCCTCTACGAACAAGCCGTGGAAAAGCAGGAGGCTTGAACTTCTCAGAGAACTACTTGTGCCTCTATGCAGACAGGCCAGAGAACGTGTACAATGATGAGCGAGACAATTACCCATGCCTCTACAGCATTTGCGATGCTCGTCATCAGTTCCAGACAGATTTCTTTCACACCACCATCCCGTACTTCTTTGACGATGATATGGAGCTGAACCCCTACGTTGGCTTCACCCAGTGCCCGCAGTTCTTCCACGAGATGCAGGACAAGTTGGATTACTTGGACAACAACAACGCTCAGTTCTTCCGCTTGAATTGTATGATTCGAAATTGCTGCGGTGGTGTAAGCTCTTGCGGAACCAATGGTACTTGGATGATTAGGCATCCTCCAGGAGATTTGGTGTGGGAGAAGGAGAAGAGGCGTGTGCGAGATGTGGAGAGCAAGCGAAAGAGCCAGGAGTATGTGGAGCGAAGAACCTTCCACGAAAGTTGCAAAGTCGAAGACACAGCCAGTAGTCTTCAGCAAGTGCTGCGGGGTCGTCGCTCCCAGTTCATCAATCGTCGCTTGTCCTTTGGCATGGCCAAGAACCCGGTAGACTACTTGGCGGCCGTGCAGCGTTGGGCCGAAGGAGGCGTGGTCTTGTCTCTCCAGACATTCTTCAGCTGCCACAAAGGTGTCTACATGGTGTGGTTCACGCTGATCTTCTTCTTCTGCTGCTTGAATTGAACTGATTCCTCCCATTTTGGAGAAACATTTGCAGGTAGGGATCTTCGCCAAGTGAAGCTCAGCTAAGGCTTTTTGGCATCGCTCTTCTGCATGGTGGGCAAGACGGACTCCACTTGGGCGATCGTCCGATGGGGTTTGGTGGATCAGGACAGGCCTTATCAAAGCCACGTGTTTGATATAGAGGGGCGCTCCAGTTCACGCCTCTGACATTAGTACATTTCCTGCTTTCAAAGCATGTCAATGTGAGGCATACCTTCAGACGTGATTGGGGGGGTCTGAAGAAAATGCAGGATCCTTTCAAAAAAAGATCCCTCGTCCATGTCATACTCCAGCCTCTCAACGAAACCTCTTAATTAGACTTCCTGGGGTTACACCAACCACCACCGCCACCGGTACTCCTCCAACCTCCCAACATGAGGGACTTGCTCCGGAATAAAGACTCAGAGAATTGATCTTGCGCTTGCTTAGGATGATGTTGATTTAACCTATGGGCGGACCCCCTTTAGAGAATTTGTCCCCGTTCCTGAAGCAAATCCAAGTCATTCAGGAGACCTACAACCAGGCCATCAACCCCTTGGTGGAAAAGTTGAAGACCCTTGCGTTCCTCGGACGGGGGTCGGATGTGTTTTCAGGGGCGGAAGTGTTTTTTTTTCTGCCAGTGTTTCGCTTCGGAATGTTTAAAGATGTTTGAAGAACAAAACTTAGTGATGTGTTTATTCCTTAATTTTGTTTGAGGATGTTTGGATGGATTCATGTTTGACCCATCGCTCGGTCTGACAAGTCTGAAGAGAACCGGGTTTCATGTAGTTCCTGCACAGAATTCGCGACTGTTCGAAATCTGCAGAACTTGCAGAACATGTTGTGTTTTTTTTGGGAAGCCATGGCCAGACCAGGTCGTGATCTAGTGATCTCAGTGGATCACCTGCCAAGGGATTGGATGGGATTGGGAACGCTCCGTTTTCCAAGCGAACAAGTGGAACAGACGGTCACCTCGTTCTTCTCATGGGAGCCAACTCGGGGCCGACTCGGGGCCGAGGTCCCGCCCGTGTCGCTCGCAACGTCGACATCCGACTGGCCAACACCGAGGCTCGTGGCCCGAAGTGAGTACTTCAAGCAGAATCCAGACTTGTGACTGGACGACACGAGTCGTGACCCGGAAAGCGTGGTTCGGAACCGACGGGAACCGACGAAATCGGGGTAGAATGACACAGGGGGTAGAATTGGAAATTGACGATTGGTGGCTCCTTCATGTGTATTATACTGACATATTTACACACATATATAATATAGAGAGAGTGTGTGTGTGTGTTAGTTCGTTAGGTTATTTAGTGTGTGTAGAGAGTGGTACAGACCATCTCATGGATTCAAGAGTTTCCAGGAGTGCTGGTTCCACTCCTTCAGTCTACCATGTGCGTCGTTTCGTATATTCGATCCAGGGGGTGAGCGTTTTTTGGGGCAACCGATGATCACCACGTACGGTCACTATATTATATTATATTCAATGGTATTCAACGATATTCGTACAGTCACCAGTTGGATGTTGAATGTTGAATTCCTATATTATATTCAATTATATTCACGATGATCCAGCTTGTTTCACCGTCCCGCGCGTTGTTTGGGAAACCGTGTGCTATAGATTTTGGAACTGGACACTGTGTTTTTCATGCGTTTGTTTTAAAGTCAGTTTAGTGGACCAACAGATGCCTATCCTGCTTCGCGCTTCGCCCAAGACCTTCGGGCTGAGGTTGGAGACCTATCTCACCATGACCCTGCAATTCATCAGCTGGGTTCTGACTTTGGCACCTTGGAGTTGTCTCTGAAATGCCCAGTGGGTGCCTCTCCATTCTGAAAACAACCTCCATTTAGGGACGGACGTCTCAAAAGGATCCCGTTTAGCATCGGTGTTTCTCAATGTTGTTCAATCTTCGAGGTCATTTTGCTTGTTTTCTCGGCATTCCTGCTTGTTTGTTGGACCGCGCTGACCACACACCCTATGTAAAAAAGTCTTATCCACCCCCGCCAGTGGATCCCTTGAACATCGAGGTCTTCTTCCTCTTGCTGGTTTTCCTCTTCACTGAGCTTCTGAAACTCATCCAGAGGGTTTGCGGCCTCCGGCTTCCAGTGATTTGGCCAGATGAGATGCGATGGTGGGGACGGCTCCTGATCTCCATGGATAACTTGACCTACTTCTTGTGGTTTTGGACGGCCTTCTTCTGGACTCTTGGTGGAACAAGAGGGTTTCAATAGTGCTGTTGGGTGAACATGTGTACACAAATACATACATACATACATACATATATATATAATATAGTATATAGTTATAGATATAGATATTGTCTATACACGCATAACCCACCGGGGTGGGACAGACGGGCTGACAGACCTTTGTTCCAGGATTGGTTTCAACTACTACAGCATCTTCGCGAAGCGCACGTACCACTTCTCATCCACGGGCATGTTTTCCTTCATGCTGATCGTGCAGATTTTGAGTTGGGGCATGATCATTGCATCGTCTTTGCGGTACACGCTCTCTACCAGTATGGAAGCCAACGAAGTGATTGGGCTGTCCATGGACAACATTTGGCGATCCACCCAGCTCTTCTACATCTCCGCACCTTTGCTGCTCTATTCCATCATCAAGGGCATTCAGGATTACATGAGATACCAACTTTACGGTGAAGACATCAGCTATTGGGTTGGTGGTGACCGTGGTGTGATGTCTAAGAACTTGGTGAAGTATTGGACCTTGCTCCTGATTTTGGGCGCTATCGGTGCATGGATTTACTACCTCATTGAGGGCCGGAAGCACATGGGTGTGCTGTCAGCGGTGATCATTGTATCTTTGATTGCTCTTGATGTGCTTCACCCTTGCACCTACCTGTGGGTGGAAAAGACCAAGTTGAAGCCAGCACAAGCGGCCAAGCTTACTTGGAGTCAAGCCTTGGTGACTCGTGGATGGTGGGAGTTGATGATCAGCAACTTGATCCTGAATGAGACTGTGACAGGTCTCATGAAGTGGCTTGGGCCAGCGTGGTTTGTCCTCATGCCCTTCTTGACCCTCTTCATGCCCTACATCGGTGTGAACCAGGCCTTCATGATGATCGGATCAACGACCAACCGCTGAGAGCGCACTCGGCCAGAAATGCCGTTTCCCATCCCAGCAAGACCAGCTGATACGATTCACACAGATTCACCAACTTATGTCGAACATGACATGGTTTGCATAGTCAGATATTTGTTTAGGCTCACGTTTGGGACAAACTCATACGTAGGCTATTTGAGCATTTTGAACCTGTTTGGGGTTTGGCACCCTTTCACACCCTGAAGGCACAGCAAAAAGGAAAGTAGTCCACAGTGTTGTCGGAAGGGCATAACGGACAGAAACGTGCCACAACCGGTATTAATTAGCGCTGAAGCACGTGTGATCAATGACTAGAAGTTCTGTCAGCGGAACCAAGCACCATGCTGCCATGCTCCTCACTGGTGCTACCCGTGCGGCTCGTGTTGGGGTGGGAAGCTTTGCGCGAAGGTCATGATCGTAGAAGTGACGGTCTCATGAGGTCTGGCAGCACGCAGGTTTGAGCGAAGAGCTGGCACGTAGATCTTTTGCAGGTGGTGCTGTGGAGGTGTTATTTTATGATATTGAGGCAAGTGAGATAGTCTAGAAATCACCCACCAATTGTATTTGAAGTCGTTTGTTGAAAGGGTGGTGCTTGTGCCCTTGAGGGATGGATAATACTGTACCTTCGGCAAGCCAAGCTCTGTGAACTTCGGACACGGCGAATCCCCAAAAAGAACAATCAAAAGTTAAAGAGGACATCCCCTCGCATCCCCTCGCAGTGGGCATTGTTTGGACATTTGTCAAATCTATATTATATACATATATCATGCGTGTGTATTTTTGTAGGGGGACCCCCAACCAATTGTTTTTTTGGTCTTTGGCGTTTCTCGCGCGCGTCGCATGCGATGGACACCCTCAGCTAAGCGTAAGGTGCACATAAATAGATCCTCAGCATCGAATCATGCAAAACGAGGCAAACCAGAAACTTACGAACGGTTAGATGGATCATCCACGTGGCTCATCTTTACACCCGGCCGCCAGGCCGCCTTTAAATTGAACGTCGAACGCCTTCCTTGATGGAAGTAAGCCCATAAAGCTGTACAAACTTCATGTCCGTTCGGAACAACGAACTGCCCACTCACGTAAGTGGTAGCACTAAGTCTTGGTCTAATTCCCTTCTTCCATTGGGTCGAACTGGGAGGTCTCCCTGCTTGAATGCACACCCATACTTGGGAAAACCCGCAGAAACTCTTGCCAGGGCGGAGCCCTTGGCCGGACGTTCCATTGTTGGGGTGTTCTGCACCGCTATCTCGTTATCGTGTTTTTGTTGAGTCTTCTTGTGCATGCAGGGATTATTTTGTTGATGTTAGCAGGCGATCCAACTCAATAGGAAGATTGTGGACTGCACGTGTCGCTGTGGGAAGGATAATGAACTTGTAGGCATGTGGTGCGTGTGACCTGAATTGAAGCCATGTTGTCACAACATGCCACAACTGATTTTGACCCAGGCTTTGATGCACAGGCATACCAGTTTGCCAAGACAAATAAAGGCCACATCATTAATTTCAATCATCAATTGAGTCAAATGAAGATGAACCGATCATGAATCATGAGATCAGACGCATTGATTGGGAGGAGTAGGCTCCATAGCACTTCTATTTCTTGCCAGTTTCTCAATGTTCAACTCTCCTTACCAATACTTTCTGAAGTTGGAGAAGCAAGAATGGCACCGGTAGCGGTTTGGCGAACCCTTGAGCTGCTTAGTTACTTTGGCTGGATCATCAGAAGGACTGAGAAAGTAATGACAAAGAAAATGCTGCTTTGGACCTCATGCGTAACCTCGGGGCCGTGCGACAGATCGAGTGAGATCGATTTGGTGGCCCGCGGAATTTTGAGATGGAAGTGCCTTTCGCGCGGTGCGGAGTCTGTCAGCGCTCGCCGCTGGCCATCCAAACAGTGCATGTCACCAGTTTGACGGAAACGGTTTGTCGCGCCTCGAGGCTGACAGGAGTTCCATTTGAGTGTTAGCGGTGAGGGCGGCTTTGAGACAGACAGCTAACTGCCGTATGCGTGAGGCAGAATCTTGTGTGATCGTTTTCCGAGATCCTCAGTGTCTTCGATATTGGGGGTCATCCCTTGATCAATGCATCAGCTGCGTGAATGTCAAGAAACATTGGTTCGATGGGCTCTCGCTGACCCAAGACATCGGGTGGATAGGACAGGTCGAGCATCCAGGGCTGCATTGAGCTAAACCCTGGCAACGTCAGCCTCACAAGTGCTGGAATACCACCTATACTATATATAATTATAATATATATATATATATATACATGCACATATATGGAGAGTGAGAGAGAGCGAGAGCGATAACTTATGGTTCCAACACGTCTACCTAGAAGAATTGGTTACAGTATGTTACAGTAATTTTTTTTGGTTGTGCTAGAAGGATAGGATTATATAGTACAAGATTCCAAGGTGCCACCTTCGTTTTCCTAACACCATTGTAATTTTCTGCAGACTCGCCGACGGAGCTCACTCGCAATTTGCAACTGTGCGTTCTTGGGAGGCCGAAGAGCCCTGCGAAGCAGGCAAGGAGCGGTCCCCTTGGAGGTGATGTTTTTTAGAATTGTTTGGGGGCTTGGGAGCTTGCATGAGCGTGCATCGTTGCCCCATCATCAAAGTGAAAAAGTAATATCCACTTTTCATCCATGTTCATTCTGGCAAAGGCTTTCCCTACAAGCCGGGATCCATTGGTTTTCCCAACCTATGCCCTTCATTCATGTTCACCCTTCATCCATGGCCAGAGCCACTGTGTCGATGTGACGCCGAGGATGAAAAGCCGGTGTCCATACAGTACTGTAGTTATAATATATAATATATATATTATTAGCAAATGTGTTAGCGTGGGTTGTTGGGGAATCTTCAGACGCTAAAATATGTATGCCGTATTTGCCTACATTGGGTCGGGTGGTTTCTTTTTTGGGGGGGTCAATGTAGACATATATTCCATACATGGAGTGTTTGGGATATGTGTATTATTGTGTATTCTACTATATATATATATAGCACCATGGTCCCGAATTGCCGTGTGTTACTTCTTGAGCCGAGGAGCGGCTCGGACACCATCAGTCGACCCACGCACCGTCGCACCGTCGCACCGTCGACCGTCGCAGCTCACTGGGCTCGGGATTTTTCGTTCACCATCGACCGGCGTCCGGGTCCTCCTGGGCTCCTCAGCGAAGAGACAGCCGGGTGGGACGAGCTGCCCAACAAGTGGGCAGTTTTTTTCCATGTTTCTTCAGATGCCTTTAGGTCACAGGTTGTGAAGCAAGTGGGTTTTCATGACATATGTACAGGCTGGTCTCAAGTATATAGGGAGAGAGGGAGGAGAGATCCACCAAACTGAGGAAGAAGGACATTGACACGAACAAACTCAGAAGCTTGCTGAAGGAACCCACACTGACACTCCACCTGGTTGGAGGGGAGCAAATGAACAATAAGCACCTTGCATGTTCCCTGGCACGTTTGGTATTTTCAAGCGCCTTGAACTTCCAAGGGCTGCCTTCTCAGCGACTTGCCGACTAGTGCAGACCGATCATTTCGTGATTCACTCTCCTTTGAATAGAAAAAGACTATGTGTGAGACCAAAGCAAAAGCAGTGGTAAACGTTTGACGGTTTCGAGAAGCACATGTATATACACAGAAGCCCCTGCACTTCCTTTTGTAAGCACACTGCTCGCAGGTCGTTCCAACCTGTTCCAATGGACACACCTGTTCCGGGACGTGCCGCAGCGCCTCAATGTCCTCCTTGTCTTGAGGCGCCCGCCCGATTTCCTGCTTGGCCCATGGACGAGACCATCGACACTCGCAGTCCCTTTGGAGAAAAAAGACGCGTGGATCTGGGAACCGATGGTTGATTGTTGAAGGCCCAACCTCCAACCTCCAAGCAGCGGTTTCCGGGCCGAAACAGGACCGACTGGTGGGGGAAAACATCGGACATTCAGCAAGAACTGGCGGATGGACTGAAAAGCCATCAGCCTGGGTCTTTTTGGCTAGAATGCCTGGAATGTGTAGAGGACAATTCGGCGGCCTTTCAAGCTTCATGAGAAGATCCTCCTTTCTCGCTACATGCATGTGGTTGTGGTTTTCAACCCTGGTGTTTCGACAGCCTTGGCTGTTGGTCAAAGAGTACCCACTCGTATATGACCATATATGCATAGGCCAGTGCGACCGGTCTGACCACTCATAGACCGTAGACAAACTGCTGAAGCGGAGCATAGCGGAGCTGAAATTGGTCGCTCCCAGAAGGTCACTGGCCGCGGCTGGGTGAAAGGGCTGTTGAGGGTGGGTGGGTGGAAAGCCTCCCCAGGGTGGTGCAGGCGGCGAGTGACTGATGTTTGTGTTTGACCTGTGGGGTGCGACCGTCGTGGAGACTTCACCAAAAAGGCCTGACCGAGCCAAACCAGTAAAGATGCCTAGGACATCTAGAAGGACAGCCATGTCATTTTGTTCCCAAATGCTGGAGAAGAAGTGAGAAGACGACAAGACATCACTCGGCATGTCATGTGAACTCAGTGCCCGCACTTGGTTCTCAACCCCTGAGCCCAGGTTCTCATGAATCTCAATCAGGATCTCGTCGGACGCCTAGATTTGGTGATTTTATCGACTGGAAACATCTCCAAGCAGACAGAGGAAGCTCAGAAGTCCATGTTGTTTTTTGTAATCTGTCCTTTTGTATTTTGCTCCTATGTTATGACTCCGTTGATTCTATGTTTGGCACCGTCGGCGGGCTTTCTATGTTGGTGCCTCAGCAACATGGGTGAGCACCAGCAAGGCCTAAGGTGATAAGCTGAAAGCCATCTTTTGCAATCCAATGCCGAACACATCGCATACGGTTCATTAGCTCAACGCCAGACTTGGCCACAGGGCCTATTCAGATCATGAACTCACTCTTCCCATCTTTTCTCCCATAAGAGTGATGCATTACATTACATCATTACTTTGACCAATCACCAATCTTTTCAAGACCCCAAACCATCTCATGAGAGGAAACCATGAGAAGAAACCATCCATAAACTCCTTTGTGCCCAACTCCATCTCTTCAATTCCACTCACTCATCCCATCCTCAGCGTGGGCTCCCGCTTCTTCCTCTCGCTTCTTCGTGAGGCACCGAGCTCGAGGATCCGGAGCTGGGCACCTTCTCCGATCACATGCGACCCATGCACCTGAAGCCACGCCGCTCACGTGGCTCGATGGGCCAGTTCAATCAATAAAGGGAGGAGCAGGTAGGGCAGGTGGCCCAACGGGTGGGTGGGCTCCGGGGAGAAGGGAGGGAGAAGGAAGCAAGTCAGCGAGCGAGTGAAGAAAGTGTGAAGAATTCCTTCGAGCTATCAGTCAGCAGCTTGGGTGCAGTTGTGCGATGGCATGATTATATAGTCACATATAGTCTGATTAGTGGAGTCATTTTTGTTACCTCACCTTTGGATGATGGTGAAATAGACTGTTTGCACACGACCTCCACTTTACACATTTCAACACATGTCAGAATTGCAGTTGATACAATTTGTCGAAAGCTTGTAGATGAGTGACAGATGCCAAATGTCCGCTCCACTTTCCACTTTTTTATGTTTGAGTCGGCAACCTAAGCGCGGACCCAGACCAGCATTTTGGATTTTGGCAACGTTGCTTTTTATAGAACATGGTATCAACAAAATTGGTGAAAAAGGGCATGCCGAGCATACAACTTAGTAGAACCTGAGCACAAGAAAGGTTCAACCCAACATGTTTGAATGGGTGGGATGCTATCACGTTTCCAATCGTTTCCACATTTGTACTTTCACAAAAACATTCCATGGCTTTGCACAAGTTGGCCATTTAGCAAACCATTCAGGAATGCAACCCGGAAAACATGGTGGGTTTGAGCTTTCTTCGCACAGTTGCACAATTGGTCATTTAGTCGCCACAGCATGCAATAACATCAACTTCCAACATCCAGCAGCTAAATTATGGTGTATTGGAACATGTTTACGTGTCCAATGTTTTCTCCACCGGTTTCCGGCTACTGTACACAGCATGTTGAAGCCTCACTTGCTCGCTACGGGCAAGTTGTTCTTTAGAGCAGGACATTCTGGGAGCAGTGGGAGGGTTCCCTGGGTTACAAAAGCTACCGGCGGCTGATATGTATATATAATATATTATGTGTATATATATAGTTGTTGTTCTATTTCTTTACTAATACAATATATTTTAACAATGTAGTCAGCCAAATGTGCTTCGTGGGAACGCCTTCAAACTTCTTAAGGCTGGTGGGATAAAAGTTATAAGCTATGTATTCGTATAGCATAGTGGATCAGTAGAAGGCTGCGGAGCTGGCTGTATTTGGTTTTTGTGCTGCGGTATCCTTTATTTGTTCTCTAATGACTGCAACATCATCGGCACTTGAGTGTATGAGTGTTCGCTACTCAGGTTGCTGTGGTCCCCCTTTGACCGCTGCTTGCTGCTGTCACTGCTTCTACGTTTGCCAGTTCTTGATTTTTATGGTGCCTTGGCATGTCAGGATTCCTCAGGGCAGCTCGGGCAGATGTTGCCGAAGAGTGTAGTTAACCGTTAGCCTTCCACACATTCTTGATATTTGATATATGAATCCTTGAGGATTTGACAAAACCTTACCATCTACAACCCACCTGCTCCCGCTGAAAACAAGGGACACACATCCAGTATTTTTGGAATTTTCGATCAAGTGAATTGGCCGTGGCTGTTCAGCATGAGGGCGTTCAACAGGGATGTATCGCTTGGGTGAAGATCGAACGCCAGATGTATTTCACCATGTGCCATTCGCCGAGGTGGTCTTCCCCTTGTGGACCAAGTGGCTAGTGACCAACCCAATGCCAACGCAGTATTGGCACGAGGCAGCTTGGGCTTGGCGCCCATCAGCCGGGAAAGCTTAAGTAGAACATACATATACTGTAATATATGTATATATATATATTGCTAAAATACTATTATGCTAGGTTTTCATATTTTTTTTTTTTGAAGATGCTAATTGTGTGGCATCATTTTTGCACACTGAAGCGCTCGGGTCGCTATGTAGTGGGATGCAGGGTGACAATTAGGCAAACATAAGCAGAAGACACAAGGATGCAATGTTGACGAATCCGAGTACAACAAACCTAACGGATTCCTAATACAATTATCTATATATGATATCGTAGGTCATAGGTGATGTTCATGGGTGCCATGTCTATGAAACCTACGCCTCCACCGCCGTGTTGTTCCACTTCCCAACCCGATGTTGTGCCGTTGAAAGAAACCGCTCGAGGCGTTTCCAAGCTGGCCGGTGATTTCGGCGGCGGGTGGACAAGAGTTGGCCTTCGAAAGTGGAGTGAAGCATCCGATCGAGATGTCTCCCATTCCCAAGGACTTGTTTTTTCTCGAAACATTGGGGAGCACGGGATTGAGCAAGAGGATGGAGAAACTCAATGAAGCTTTCTTATACACTTGCCATGGTCCACAGGATCCGGCATATGGGTTTGATTTGTTCAATTTGTTCTTAGTTGCGATGCGAATATGTGTCCAAACTAAAGTGCGCTCTCCTACCGCGTAAGACATGCACATCGGTTTAGCACTTCACACTGAACAAAGTTGGTATATAGTTATATGTAGTTGTATATTATAGATTCGAATTCATGAATCCGTTTGTAATGGGTTTGTCACGTTTCCCAGCCATATTCACCATTTGCCGCCCTACCCTCCTGCTACCGATTAATCAATGTTCAATTTTGCCGATGACTTTCAAGAGCAAGAGCATTATGAAATTGTTTGAGATGTTTGGAAGAATGCAAGTTGGCACAGTTTGGAACTACCTAAGAGTCAGCAACCTATCTAGAATCTCCAGTTGGGTTAGGAGGAGATCAGGGCCAGCAGTCTAACCTTTAACAATCTCATTCACTGACACTTGCAGTCCTTGAGAAGTTTGCTGTCAATTCTTATCGCCGCCTGTTATATGTACATATATATATATATTAATTCCTAATGGAGTAAACTGAGTGAACTGTAATTATTGCTTCTTTAGTGGTAAGAAGTGTTGATCAAACTCTTCAATCAAAAAGGATCTCGGTTTTGTTCTTGCAACCTCCATGGTCATGGATGGCTCATCCTGTTGTTGCCGCGCACCTTTTGCCGCGCCCTGTTAGTGCTTGTGCATTTGAGGAGCCCGATGCCTGCAATTACAGCTGTTCCTCCTGGCGGGGCTACCGGACCAACGAGATGAACTTCCGTGTGAGCCACCTGAAGAAAGAAGAAGCGTGGCGGAGGGTGCGACATAGCAGGGGTCCAGATTGTGGGAGGTGCGCAGCCCTACAATCACAAGGCCTCTCAGGACCACATAATATGTCACATGCCATGGAAATTGCAAATGGCCGTGTTTGCCCACATGTTTTGCCCAGTTCAAGCTTGGAGGCCGCTGTGATCTTTGTCCAACAAAACCTCTTTTGGCTAATGAAATCCCTGGAGTACTCGTCGCAATGGAATCCCTTGAATTCCCGGAGCCGTTGGCGTTGACCTTATAACACGCGGGTTGAATGGAGGTGAGGACGTACTTCCCGAGAAATGGTCAGTCACCACATCAGCCTTTCGTGCGGGCGGACCATCTTCCGTAGATCGTCCATGGGCAGCGATCTATCGAACCCCAGTGAGCCAGCGGAGCTTCGCTAAGCTGAAGCAAAGTGAGCAACCACAACAAGCCTGCAACAAGCCAGAGCTTCTCATTCCGAGTGAGAATCGAAGACACTGGATGTAAGTGCATGGTATTCAACAAGTCGACGGGCAAGGGGCCAGAGACAACACTCCTCGACATTGCCCATGACATATATATATATATATATAGCTAGGCTCAGAGGGTTGTTTTTAAAGGTGTCCTGCCAGGCCCATCAAGGATCCCATGTGGTCAGCTTGTCGTTTCACTCTGGACGACGTCAGAGCGCTTGGCGCTCCAAGACTCGAAGGGGGCCGTGGAGCACGCACCGCGCTCCGGACTCTCCGCGCTCTCCAAGGTTTGATCTTGAACCACTCGGGTCTTGGCAAGGGATTCGTCCACACCGTTTACCCCGTCTTGTTGGCCTCCGCTGACTTCAATGACTGGTGGGTGGTGGCCGATCGTGCCTGGGTTTGCATCCAAGCGTCGAGTTCTTCTTGGCTGTCCCAGAGTTCTGGCGCTGGGATCATCCAGGCCCCAGGATGTTTTTGTTGCCTTCTGGATGCAGTCTTTGTCAATTTGGCATCCAAATATTCCCATCCTGTGACCAGACTCTGTTGCACCTGAGGTCGTCAGGCGTGGCCTTCGCCCTTCTGGCGCGCGCAGACGGATGCGGCGGGGCACACCTACGTGCACGACACAGAGAGCTGCACGCGTCCGCCGGAGAAGGGAACCGAGACTTGGGAGAGGTTTGGATGTTCGGAACGACAAGTGGTTTGAGGGTTTGGGGGGGGTTGGAGCAAAAATGATCAGAAGAGGTTACTATATTTCATAAATAAGGTTTGCTTTTGGCAGACATGTTTCATAAGTTCTCAGCAATGCGCACTGCATTTCAACATCACCTGTAGAAGGTAGGGGGTAGCTTTTTGGTGGAACAAAGAATAGTGCTTCCAGTGCTGGATGCAACGGGCTATGGGAAGAGCAAAAGCGAAGTAAAAGAGCAGATGACGCATGTTGGTGTCGTTTTTTTTACAAGGCTGGTGACGCACAGTCGTCATGTCCTCTTGGAAGAGGCAACCCTATCCCCAAACTTATGTTTTGTTCTGTATACTGTATTTATCCCAGATATGAAGCGTGATTTATGACATTCAACAGAAGAGGTATTAATTTAATGTGATGATGTTTGATTGCTTTGGGATTTGTGTTGGTTGGGTGGCAACGGACGAGTTTTTGACAGTTTTGGAGTGGCTGCTGGGAGAAGAAACTTTGCCTGATTTACCCTACCTTCCCTTAGTCCCTTGAACCCTTGGTTGAACAAATCGAATCTGCCAGAGGAGGCATTCCTGATGTTTTACTTGACCAGTGAGATATGTAAGTCCTACCATGTCCTACTACAGTACCTACCTGTTTTTGAAAACAAAGGCTTCACAAATCTTTGGGAGACCAAATTCCGAACCTTTTGTACACGTCCTCTTTAGACAAACCAGCGGTCAAGATATGTTTGAGCATAATAAGCAGAACACTCGAGGTTCTTACTAAGACATGTGAGCAAGACTTTTGGGTGGGGGTTGAGATCAATGTGTTTCTATCCTCTAATAGACTCTATAGCGAAACTAGTGCCAGATGGGTTTTCCATCGAGAGGCAAGCCAAGCTTGGATGTTCGCCACGTTTGTTCATCACCAAGCTGGTCCAAATCAATTGAACATGAGCACGGATGAGCTGAGCTTCCTCATGTTCCCATATGTTCCCACTTTTGGAGCAGGTCTCCTCAACACCTTTCGTTGAAGAACCCGTGGCCGCCACCCGTCCTCTTCCGTCCCGCGGCGCCACGGCACGGCTCAGGAGCTCAAAATGGACTCCGACCTGCAGCTCGCCACGCGCGAGGGTCCGTTCGGGGTGATCCGAACACATCGGAGGAGGAGGTTTCAGGGCCCGGCTGGGCCGGCGGAGCATGGTTCATGTTATAGATCGGATGAGAGGTGCCAAGCAATGCGGGCAAGGCTCGGGTGAAGTGAGGAGAACTGCAGAACCAAGACTGATGGGGGATGTTGGCAAGCATTTCCGAGAATTCCACTCAAAATGGCAAGGAGAGTGGCGAGGGGTACAAGATCACCTTGCGCAAATTTTAGAAGGAGTGTACAAGTCCCGCACTGCCTGACAGCAGAGTGAATCAATAGCTCCTGCCCCCCTATATGAGCTGAATTATGTAGGCCGCGGGCTTGGATCACCAGAGCCAGGCACTGTTTTTTGAGCTGACCCTGCTTTATGTGGCTCTACCAGAACTGCTAGCAGATACTGAAAGCTGTGAGAATTCTATAGGTGATTTGTCGCTTTGAACTGCCATCCTGGTGACTCCCTCCTCGTGCTTGTGCAGCTAGCCCCAACCCAGGTATGTGCTAGCTTGCCTGGTTTGGAAGCCGTCCTCCTTTGCTGAGCTCGAGAGTCGGGGCCCAAGCTCAGAACCACTGGCAGTGAGAAGGTTCTGAGAAGCCCTAGAAGTAAGATCCAAGCAGTCTCGAAGGTTTTTAGGTTCTTGTAGAGTGTGTATGGATGTATGTGTATGCAGATGTATACACATGTATACACTATACACTTCCATTCCTGTCAAACAGCAGGCCTAGATCTCCACGGTGCATGGTGTGGAGATCACGCAGGTCCGACAGGTCAGATCGAAAACCGTCGGACCAACGTTGCTAAGGCTTAGATGAATTGGATGATTCCGATGTGGCCAGCTACTGCCAGAGTGCAGGGGGGGTGTGTGGATGGAGCTGCGATTCGGCTCCGTGGCAAAGAATTGTTTCATAAGTTCCCATATATATAATATATTATATATATAATTAAAGTTACTTGATTTATCTTGATTTGTCAACATCTCCACATGGTGGAGGGGTTCTTCAACAGTCCATGTACAATTTCTTTGAGAGGGGGACGATGCCGTTCATTCACCAGGCCATGACCTCACGGAGCCAGGACATGTGGCCTCACCTCTACCACCCAAGCTTGTGACCTTTAGCACCTCCGCTTCACCGGTTTGACCATGCTTTGCCCACTATGCACCCTCAGTGCACCCTGCGAAAACGCCATACGAAAGCGCAAGGTTTTGAGCCCTGAGCTTCTTGAGGGGTGCACCGCCAAGAGCACCATCGAGATGACCAGGACAGCGTTGGAAGCAATGGAGATGTTAGCCTGACATGGGCGCCCAAAGACCCCTGAACTGAAGCCCATCGGTAGGGTCTATTAAACTGCAAACTCACTGATGACCCCATGTATATAATATAAGCATTCATTGCAGGCCTTCCCGGCCCAAGAAACAATAAGCGCACCATATATGGTGGCAGTACACGAGCGCTTTCTGCCGGCTTTCCCGTGGATGCAGCGAGAACGGCTCCTAGTAGCGTCCTTGCTCCTGGTAGTACGGCCAGGAGCCCCTAGTAGCGTCCTTGGTCCTAGTAGCGATGCCCTTTGCTCCTAGAAGTCCCTTGTTGGGTCTCGGAAGGACCTCAGTCGCCGGGCGTGAGATTCCAGGTGGGCCCAAGCGCTGCAGGAAGTGGGTCAAAGGGATGGTTCCCCTACGCCAAACCCCGGGCATCGACAGGTGCTACGCCAAACTAGCAGATGGACATGATGTAACAGCTGGAATCTATATTATACTGTATAAGCCAAGTGTAAGAGAGTTCAGGGGTCTATTTAACTTGCCTTTGCCCGACTTGTCAGTTCCAATGACTCAAAAGGTGCATTTTACATCATCGTGCTTTGAATGCAAGCAGCTAGGTGCTGCATGGCTGGGATGGATATCTCTTACTTATGAAAGGAGGTATATACTGTAAATAGTTCCTTAGGCTGTAGGTAGTGCCCAGTGCATGTTCCCAAGATAGTAATTGTTATTTCCACATTATATATTATAGTTGGATGGTTTGGCTGGATTGATAGGCCACGACTGTTGGAAGTTCCAAGGGCTGCCTCAAATCTTGGGATGAAGCAGATAAAGCATGCCAGATTTGGTTCAAGCACATTAGAAAAACGGATTTAACTGTTGAAAACACGTCGATCGGTAGGGACCAGTTGGAAAAAGTTGAGAAACATTCCTGAGAGAGAGAGAGGGAAGCATCTAGTAGATCTGTGGTTTGTGAGAAGCTAGACTTCTTTGTGAAAGTAGGGCCCTCCATCAAAAGTCGTTGAACAAAATTTGTTGGTACAGAAGCGTTCCTCTCCATATTATAGATACAGAGTCCTCCACCTCCACCTCAGCCAGGTGCCGACTTCCAAGGGGAGGTCGAGCTCAAGCAATGTGTGCCTGGGCACGGGAGGTCGGATCCACATGAAGATGCCATCCCGGATGCCATCTTCAGGTGGGCGTCAAGAACTTTAAAGTGCCAAAGATCAAAGATCCGTATCCATTTACTGTAGTGCACATTAGTGCACATGGAAAGGTAGGAGTTTCAAGTTTAATGGAAGGGTATCACCTACTGGTGGTTGGTAGAGGGAAAAGAGCTTCTTAAGTTTCAGAAGTCACTTGACTTGGCACACTGCCTGTGGTGTGTGGCAGTGTGCCTGAATTGGTTTACACCTCCTCCTTGGGATGGTACTGCAGGGATGTCAGTTGGTGTGTGCCAAAAGCCAAACAGACACCTTGCCTTGAACTATTCTTAGACGGACTTGACACCTTGCCACCAAACACACCTCCTTGACACCTTGCCAATCAGACGGCTCGGCCTGGCCACGCGTTCTTCATGACGCAACACCGCCGAGCTGCCGGATGGGCCATGTTCCGTGGGCGCTGCAGGAGAGCAACATCAAGTCAAAGAGCTGTGAGACCTCCATGGACAGCTTCAGGCGAGGTCCTGAGTGTCCGGGTTCTCCGAGCTGACTGGCACGCTGCGACGAAAGCCAAAACTCAGGTGGCTGACCCTCCACTTATATACCACAGGAATCCTTAGGAGTCCATTCCCCCATTCTCTACTTATCAAGAGGTCAGCAAGTTGAGGGCACCTTGGAGCTTCAGGGAGGTTGTGAGGCACCTCTTGCAAACACCGGGAAGCGAAGCGTGTTTGCAAGAGTCATGAGACACCATAGAGCTTGTTTGACCATGAACTGCATGGTCAATTTACTTTGCTTGATACAGCCACGGCGAGTGCCATCAACGAAGGCTGGCTAGGAAGCCCTCAAAGCTATCCCAAATAGGGTCCCAGATGGTGGCAAGTGGATGCCATTTGCTTTAGGCTTGCCTGACATGGTCGTTGAAACATGTTGAAGCAAAAGACTGGTAGATTCACATCCCACAGTGGACTATTGATTTGGTTAATTTCTGACACGTGCCCACAGTGACCTGCAGACCCTGCAGCTTGAATAAATACTACACCCGACTCTTTGGTTTGCATATGCAGTGCAGATTAAACCATTTGTTTCTGTTTTGTTTTTTACCTTTCTCCAAGGTTGTTGGCTTCCAGCTTGGAGTGCCACCGCCCATGTCCGACAGGCAATGGACCTGCCACAACTGCTATTGGGATCCTCGCACCGAAGATGACATGCGCCGCTTGCAGGGCATCGGTGGGTTGCCACCTCCACCTGGTGGACTCGACGGCTTGTGGCTTGGGCGTCCAGAGTGTTGGTCGTTGGACGTTGTTTCCGTTGGTTGGAGCGCCCTCTTTGACAGATGTGTGTGTGTGTGAAGGACCCAATTAAGGATGTGTTGCAGCTTTCGCCCCCTGTATTTTTTGCAGCGGCCTTTGCAGCCAAGGTTTGGGTCACCTTGGATGAAGATGGTAAGCTTTGCTGTTTTGACGTTTGTTTTGCAAAGGCCCACTTAGTGTCGTGACTTGCTACAAACCCAGCGAGTCCAACTCCTTCTGGGAACACTTGGAGAAACTGAATGAAATTGCAGCCAGGGGCTGCAATAGCCACCCCCCAGACAATCGCTGTGTGAAGTTCATTCACCAAGGTCTTTGATGCCAAAGAGGATTGTCTTCTATACCATACTTTCCCAAAGGGGACCCACTGGATCAACATACCCTTTGAGAAGAAGGTGATGTGTTCGATGCTCTTATATATGTAGGTACTCTTACTCTGGGTCCAGGCGTACCGAACCTGATAAGGTACGACTGGCTCGTTTTGGATACCTAGGGATAGTTTTGCAGTTCGTAGTCGAATGCACTCCGGACGCCATCCATCCACACAGGTCCGGCGACGACAAAGGTGACGAGGCACGGGCGGCACGGGTTTGATGAGTCAGCCGGGTGGCTGGGGCAATAAGTCGACATGTGCCAACCATGTGATGGGTGGGGTATTATTCCATGATAGACCCATGGTAGTACCCATGGACAGATCTTGGGCGAATGGGGGCAGAGCAGAGCAACCAGAGAGCCGCCATATATTATGACACATTTAGTCGCGCCATCGTTACTGTGAAACTCCAGAATGGCCTTCTGAACAGCTTTAGGGTAGACCAGATTCGATCCAATCCAACTCCTGGCTAACAATGCCACCCAACCCTGTCAAATCACAAAGATGAATCTCAGTAAGCCATGGTTTAAGGCAATGGGAGCCATTCAATCAAGGCTTGTATCCAGATTTGACCATTGCTTTTTCCAAACCTCTGTAGCAGACCCTACTAAACATCTATAGTCACTAAATCATACCCTTCAGATTGCACCTTTTCTCCACGACCGCGACCGCGGTCCCCATTTATTGTGTCTCCCATATCTGGCCTGGCCCTTGTAGCGTCCTTGCTCCTAGTAGCGATGCCAGGAGCCCCTAGTAGCGTTCTTGTTCCTAGTAGTAAGGCCAGGAGCCCTCCTCTGTCGGGGCCCACGCCTCGAGGATACTTCCGGCGGCGCCTTCGACACCAAGACCGACGAAGCCAAACAGCCGATGGCGCGAGGGCGACGGGCAGTGGGCAGTGAAGGACGATAAGGACGACATCGACCGGGAAAGAATGGTTCACCTGCCTCAGGTTGGCAGCTGCTGTTGATGGAAGATATGGAAGGACACTGTTGGCAGCTGCTGTTGAGGTGATGACACTATAGTTAACTAGTTCAGCGGTGGACCTTTGAGCTTTCGAGTTTGCATGCTGACGGAAAGCCGCTTTAGTAACTACAGCAGACTATGGATAGAGATCTAATAAACAATCTTGCTATTGATATTTGTATCCTTCAGATTCCTTCAGAAACTATTATTTGCAGGTGGTGTTTTTGATAAACAAGGATAAAACCTTAATAATCGATGTTGTTGTTTCACATTTTGCCGCGCTACTCTTTTTTTCTTAATAAGCCTTATTTGTTGTCTATATGAGAGAACCCCTGTGCATGCCTATTAGAACTCTATCAAGTGCTTATGCAGGGTGCCAGTATGCCAAACAAGGGCGCATGAATTATCCAGCGCTTACAACGCAGGCAGTAGTGGTGGAGGCGGTAGGGGTCCAACGTAGGCCCTGATAGTTTCAGCCGCCAAGAAAGGGACAAACAATGCCCGAGAGGTCCAGCTCCACATCAGCTCCACATCACATCAAACAGCGTCCTCGTTTCCGTTTCCATCTCCCCCGCCACTCCGCCCCACTCCGCCCTTCTACACCGGGCACTGGCGCAGCCGGCCTCCGGCCGCCCGCCGCTCGCCGCCAGGTCTACACCTCGTTGCCGCGCTTCCGGGTCTCGGTGAGTGGAGCTCCACCGCCCGAGGGCACCGACGTCTTCAGCCAGCCGCGGGTCTTCGTGCTCTACTCCTCCAGGGAGAAGAAGGGAATCTGGCAGAAGCTCTACAAGGAGCATGGTGCATATCATGGTGTTTTTCGTGTTAGAAGGCGGAAATAGTGAAATGAAGTGTACTTTGAAGAGTTGGGGAAGTAGCTTTGGAAATTCGGACAGGCTAGTTAGTCTCTGTCGTGGCCCATGCATGGAAGAAAACGTAGATGGAACCCTGGAAGGTGGTTCAAAAGGCTTGCTTACTTATCGTTTTTGGGTGGTAATTAGAGGTTGGAAGTCACTATACTGTAATTACATACTGTTTTTTAATATAAAGCAACCAGGACAGCTACGGAAAGCTCTCTCCTCCGGAGCCTGTGGATGCTGAGAACAAGCCCTTGGTGAAGAAGCCCGAGATGCTCGGAAAAGAGAGCCCGGGGAGCTGGAGTGGGGAGGCGCGCGTTGGCACTCTGACCCTAACAAGGGAGTGTACTGGAAATGTACGGAAATGATCGGAAATGTCTGCAGAATAATTGCCACCATCATTAATTTTGTTTACATACCAGCGACTGGGAAAGCACGGGAAACGTACGTGTCCAGATGCGCCGCTGGCCTTACCTGGCCCATTCTCAGAGGGTTTGTTGCTTTTTCCAGCCACATACATCTGACCTCCTGTGGTGCCTTAGTTCATCTTAATGAGTTCCCTCGCCTCACCTTTCGTGAAGTCAAGCATCCAGCTGGGCAGCATAGTGCTTTTTGATCTCCCCAAATGCCTGGCGGAAGAGCGGAGTAGTGAACGGCCAAAGGAAGTGGGAGGGTGTCAGACCAGCCCTGTGGCTCGGTTCATCACATGCAAAGCAAAGTAATATATAATGATTCCCAGACACTCCATGGAACTGCCATATATGCTGGTCAGTTGGGGTGGTGCCAGGGGGGTCTGTCTGGGGCGGCAGTCCAGTCCCAGACAGGTCGTGTCTGGGATTTGTTGAAAGAAGGGTCAGGAGGACTGTCAGGAGCATTCCACCAGGCTGGGTTGACCTGCTCGAAGCAGACCACCTCTCCACTCGGAAGCACGCGAGGTCCGAGTACTACAACGAGGAAGTGGTCCCCCTGGTGGATCCTGCCTCGAAGCACGCGATGAAGCTCACGCAGCAGAACCGCTTGGAAATCGACCCTGGCTGGTGCTATGGACGCCAGGGGCCCATGTACCGCAGCTGAATCATGCTCAACTCCGTTGATTTCACGGTGAGATGCGGACGAGATGTTGGGGTACAACGGGTGCAACCAGTTATAACGACCTTTGATGTGCCCCGAGAGGACCGGCTACGCGTTCCTCCAAGATGTCGGACGGTTGGACTCGGGTGGACGTACCGTCAGAGCATTTCAGAACCATGACGACGCGGGTTGCTGGCGCGGGACGTACTGTACGTCCAGGTACCTGGTTGCTTGCGCTGTCAACAGCACCTTGTACGAGGGTACCTTCGAGCGCTTCAAGCCTGGACAGCAGGCGCCCCCGTGGCTCGTGTGGACGAAGGGGGGGCCAACAGAATAGATACCTCCACAATAGAAACTCGGAAGGATTGCACCCAGATGATTTTGGATATAGCTGAATTGAAAGTTCGTCATGTTCACCAGCGGGTTTCTGATCAATCGGGGAGGGCCTCTATTTGATTCATTCCAAGTGGATTGAAACCAAGCTACCTTTGACACAGTTATGTACAGGAGTGTTGCCAATGGTGATGTTCCATCACTCCACCTATCAAAAGGAAAGCGAAGCCCTGCCATTTTCTATGTTTCCTTTGCTTGGAAGGTGCGATCAGATTAGATCAATTAATATTGAATTCAGTACTACTAATAACAATAGCAATAATAATAGTTATAATGGTTATAATAACAATAATAATATCTATATAGGACAAGTCTACACGGCTCCTTTTCTTGGGTCCAATGGTGGACAGGTACACCCCCAAACAACACGAATTCAACGACCGCCCCTATTTTTCTTCCCTGGACCACCAACCGCTTCCACCGCAGGCGGCGCCACCGCCGTTCAACGACCGCTGCGTGGCCGTGGGGGGCCGCTGCGCCTTCGCGTGTCAGGGGGAGCAACGGCCCATGGCCAACTGCTCCGAGGTGTCTCCTAGCCCCATTGTGGTTTGGGTGGAGCATGGTGGAGGGCTGGGTGGGTGTTCAGCAGTGTTTGGCTTTTAGTGGTAGGAGAGGGTGGTTTTCTGTGGCAAACAAGGGAAGAAGATGATTTCGACAATGACAACATATGATACCTTGTGTGGATTCCATTGCATTGTATTCCTTCTGTTGTTTGAGATTGCCCTCCGCATGGCTGCAGAAACTCTTTGCATCTCTAACGGTGGTGTCCACGCATGAAGGCAATGGTTGTGGTGGTTTTGTTAGTTGATGTTGGTTGCGTGTTTTCTTTTGTGTGCTCGTGACCCGGTGCTATGTTGGGACGGATGACACCAAGCCTGACACACCAAAGGCCATTGAGTTCTGGCTTTATTAATGTGGACTGCATTGGAGGTCCATGTTGAGACTATCCGCTCTCCACAACAGCGCCAGGATGGATATATTCACCAGTCAGCCTTGTTGGGAGATGTCGCATATGAGAAGACGCTCGGCTGCCCCGGGTGTTTTGGAGGCTTTCTTGAGTGAGATGAAATTGAACATTGAACCTGGTACCAGCAAGAAAGCTCTCAGTTCGATGGTCTCCAAAAGTGTCTCACTGATCTTAAATGCAGGCGCAAGAAGTGCCACAACTGCAAGACTCTGAACGACAAGTGGATCAGTCCAGCCATATATGATATATGTATGTTGGATACACAAATCAACATGATGTTTATGTTGATCACCCGATACCTTGAAGGGCCACTTTCGGGCCTTCAGCAGGTCAAGACCTCCGTCGGAAACTCCTGGCCTGAGGAACCAGACAACACCCGTTTGGCTTTTCTGCTACGTTTTGCTGGTGGGCTTTGGCGTGAAAGCCGTGATGTTGTGTCCTGGAGTCTTCTCACCTTATCCTCATTTCAGGAGGCGTGGTCCTGACAAACCCCGATTTTTCTATCCTGCTGGTGGAGGGCTGGTGGAGGGTATGGAGACATGACATGTGGGGGTATGTAGGGACGCCGCATTTCATTGTACTAGTAACTGCTGGATCTCCATGCAGGCAGCAAGCAGCTTGAATGAAGCGGTTCACACACTTTCCTGTTGTCTTGTTTGCCTTAGCAGACAACAGACATAATGTCCTTCTTTTGTATGTATATTTTCTATTAACCAGGCTTATATATATATATATATCTTCATTGACGCCATTCAACATCCTTTGTGAGTCATTGGTTGTTTGATTTTGCTTTGAAAGCCTTCTACATCGGAGAATTTGGTGCCAGGTATGATCCAGAGCTCACTGCCATGCTACGCTACATCATGGTGACAGTACCCAGTGCGGGTGAGAGCAAATGCACCGTGTTGAGGACGCCGAACGGCGAACGGCCACCGTCCGATCGGCCGATGTGGGGGGCGTTCCACTCCCAACTTCGGACCATTGCGGGCTGCCCATGAGCTGAGAGCTTGGGACTACCCCTGGGACTACCCCCATGTTCATATGTGTCTTTCTTCACCCTTGAGGGTTGTGATCTCACTGATTCGTGTACCTGCTCGGGCTCGCCACGGTGCGTGCCAGTGGCCTTCAACGGTTCCGGTGGCACCGCCGCTACTTAACCTCCTCCGCAAGAGGTTTTTCTTATATATTTTCTTACCCCCAGGCGAATGGGGGTCGCTTTTTCAGACCGTTCACCTTTGGGGCCCACCCCGCCGATGATGTCTTACAACGCGTAGTTTAAGTTGTTCGGCCGCACGCTTGTGAAGGCATGCCCGGCCGCACTTGACCTTTGACTGGCCCAGATTCGACAAGACTGCGGAAAGAGTGTTGCACAGTCGCTGATCGCTGACCGCTGCTCCCCATTGATCGCTGATTGCATGTGACTCTGCGTGCGGAACTCTCAAGCCCAGAAACGCGTCACTGGAAAGGGAGAGGCAATGGGGGTCGGAGAACGTGCACAGCTGTGCTCGCTGTATATAGTAAAATAGGCACTTGACGGATCTTGACGGAGTGAATTGTCCCAGGGTGTTTGCGGCTTTCATTTGCATTTCAGTGTGGTAAGGGCTTGCATTTGCAGTCCTGTAAGGCGACGCATTGCAAGAGCGCATGTGTTTCATGGTCTTCATGTTGCAAGTGCCAATTTAATTTGGCAACAGCAGTGCGAAACTGTTTCCAAGACTGTTGCCTTTCTATTTGCATGCCGTCTTTTTCACAAATGAATACGATAAACCATCAATGACTTAGAGCTAGCGCTAGAATGCAGATATATAAGGTACCTTTCCCTCGCCAGTCCATGGTACCTTTGACCGCGAAGACCCGTCGCCTACGAGCTTTGAAACCCTATTATCGTCTAAAGTGTAAGGAGGCACTACAACAAGTTGTTAAGGACAACACTGTCAGAGTGTGGCACGCATTTGAAAGAGTGAAGACACGCCACCTGTCGGGTGTAGGTTGTGTAGGCATAGGCGCATGCCGTCTCCATCACGAGAGGAACATCGTGGGCGCCATTGGTTGCATGCCAAAAGACGCCTGGTATTGCAAAATGATTATGACGAGGTTTTGAAGTAATTACGCTGCAAAGATGATGTTGCTAGCATTGGACTCCGAACTACAATTTCATCCACGAAGTTCCACCCCGATGACTTAACACCCTTCCATGAATTTGTAGCAGAGTCCTCAAACAGCTGGTCCTTTTTTTTCCTGATAATTCTTGAACCTGGTTCCAAGACAGACATGTCCACAAATCTGGGAGTCCCGCTTTTGTTGCACCCAATTCGCCCGCTCGCTCGACAATCCGCCTCCGAGGATTGCCGTTGCCGATACCATGTCGCCTTCGTGGATGAGGGACACCGAGCAGAGCAGAAGGCGAGGGAAGGGAACCCTGCGGAGTGGCACCCGAAAGATCACAAAAGAACTTGGACCGGTGCATGCGGATTCCAAACGGACCGTCACCAGGCCCCACCTTGGTGTGGTAGTTTTCTGGCAATTATGTGTATCTAGCAATATCCCTACAATGCTAAACACAATGCTCAACATAGGATTTCATCAGATACGAAGCTTAATCATGCTTAATCAATATATATATATATATACTGTAGTATTTACCGAGATACTCTGTTTAACCCCGAAATGCGATGTTTGACCACCCAACCCATATATCAACATGTTCTGATGAAGATGAGGCTGTCCCCACCTGTCCGAATCCTAGCAAAAGTTTGTTTTTGGCACTGCTCTAAGCACATGCTCAATGACCAGTCCTGAGTCCTGCTAGGCTGATGGTACTACCCAAAATGTCTCCCAGACTATTAAAGCTGCCCTGACAAGTCTCGATGTCAAGCCAGTATGGGCAGTTCACCTGTTCTCCCTCCATGATCTATACCCCTTCCAACTGTCCAACCAATTTTGGTGTCTTAAGATGTGTGATCTCTCAATTTCTACCCTTGCAACACATCGGAAACACGGCAGAGCCCCTTTTTTGAAACGGATCAAGCTTCGGTCGGACATACGGTCTTTTTGGTCCCAGAACGCTGCGGGGCTCTAAGGGCTGCGGGCCTTTTTTATCAAATGCGATGTTTAATTAGCCAAAAAACAACTGTATTCGGCAAGTACATGCAAAAATGAAACTAAGCTTCAACATTGAAGTGTGGGGGTATATAACAAGTCAACCATTCTGGTGACATCATTCGGATATTTGACCGCATGGTAGCTGAGGTGATGTTCATGAAGTTGGCTGCAGTCATCGAGCGTGTCCCCAATTTTGGTGGGGTCTCCTACGAGGACGGGCAGCTGCACGGCCAGGGCACACTTTTGTACAAAACGCATTGCTGGCCTTGGCATTGGCCCCCTCTTTAGGCTTCATATGGCTTCATATCAAAGGGTCACTGCCATATGTTGTTCATAGGGTATCGCTTCACTGAAAGTGGTCTAACATGAGAACCAGCAAGAACCCTACATAAACCTACACAAACCCTACAGGGAACAATAAAAATCCCAAGAAAAACCAACACTTTGGACACAACCTTTCACTAAAGCTCAGCCCTGGATAGTAAATGTCAATGCCTTCCAATGATATGGCTTGCCCGCTTTTGGGCACAACCTTGACTAAAGCTCAACCCTTCCACTGGCTTCCCACTTTTGGGCGCCACTAACCTGTGGATAGTAAATGTCATTGCCTTCCCATGTCATTCCCACTTTTGCCTTTGCCACATGTTTCCACCATTTGCATGGTTCTTAATTTATCCTTTCCACTCTAACTGATGACACAATTTTCCCACCTCTGGGCACCACTCTGATGGTTTTCCCATCAGAACCTGAAGGAACCTGACCTTATCCCACAAAAACCTGAACTTGTCCCACAAAAACCTGACCGTTTCCCACAAAAACCTGAACTTTTCCCACTTTGGGGATAGCCTCCAAACGAAAACAATAAGAACACACAACACTAAAAGTTGGAAATAATTGTTACATTCGTTTGTTATTTTTGTTTAACATTTGATTGCTTGATCTTATATACAGTTTTGCAAATGTTTTGAACACTTTCCCGCTTTGGAGGCACCCCTCAGCCACTCCCAAGGGGCAGGCAATGTGAGTGCCTTGTGTCCAAGTCAAATCAAACCTGACAAAATACCATGGGAAATCCCAACTCTTTCCCACGCATTTCCCAAATGGGAATTTAGTAGGATTTAGTATGATTTAGTCAGGTTTTTACAGGTTTCCAGCACAGTGAAGAAGTGCTCTATGAACAACCTCCAAGTGGGATTCTAAGATCATAGTTTCGCAGCGAAAGGAATGCGAACAGGGAGAGTTCCATGCATCCGGCGAATTGAATTCTTCAGAGGGCGAATGGGCAAAGCACATAAGCAATGACATGTACTGCAGAAGTCGACCGTCGAACGGGTTTGGATGTTTGAGTCTGCTTGAGAAAAGCCATGGCCGTTGAGGAGAACGTGAGCCGCTTCTTCCAGTCCTGGGTGGAGGATACCAAAAAAATGGATCTGGCCAAGGTCAAGGATGGTTATCCGGGCGCTTCTCGGCCGGATTTCGTTCCCCAGGGCTCTTAACTTCTACACCAGTGAGTCGCCCAGGGCTTTGTTTTTACTCGGGGTGACTCGATGCCGATGATACAAAGTACCCGCCTGCCTCCTGGATCAGACTTATATAGATGGGGAGGAACGAGGAGATTAAAACGCAAAATCAGCTGTGGGAGAAGCTGGAGAAGCCTCAGTGTACCGCTGGACAGGCTTTAGACCAGAGAGAAGCTGTGACAAAGAGCTTGGTGACTGAACTTTGAGCCTACCAAGTCAGAGCACTTAAAGAACCAGCTTTTGTGGCGTCGAATGTGAACGGGTGAACTCAGTGGTGAACGCCCATCTAGGGTCGGGCTGAGTCATGCTCAGCTCTGGGCGCACGGGCCAAACTTAGTGAAAGATGTGAAAGAAACGCTCGCACCTGCACGATTCCAAGGAGGTGGAGCCCGAAGTGATGCTGCGCATGTGCGGGAAGAACACCCTGCGAAAGCTCCGGAAGGAGGGTGGCTGGGGCTCCATGCCTCCCGAGGCGCACGCTTCTGCGGGATGGGAGGCTACAGACTAGGCCCAGAACAGGCCGACCTTGATATACCTTGATCATCTTGATCACACTTTGTTGGGGAAGTCTGGGGATTTGGCTTCAAGGGTGGTTCTAGGCTTTGGGTCCGGCTCGAAACCGAGCTTCCGGTCAGGTTTTTGAGCCCTTGGAGGTGGCGCTGAACATTTTGGAAGAAGACCTGAAGAACAGCAAGAAGGTCTGGGATCCGAGGGTGTATTGGATGATGAAATGGGCAATCAAGATAAACTGGATGATGAAATGAGAAGGTATATAACCTTATATCCGAGAGGGTTATATACCTTGGATGATGAAATGAGTATACCTTGGTAATTACATACCTTGGTATATATATTATATATATAACCTTGATATGAAATGGTATATAACCATATATACCTTGGGTTATATATTGGTATATACCTGTGTCTTGAACCCTGCCGATGCGAGGTTGGCTTCGTGATCCATTTGGTTGCGCGAAGTTGGTGTTCTGTTTGTTGGTCGGTGTGTTTTGGTATGGTCGGTATAGTGGTCATATATGCTAAAGAAAGATAACAAAATGACTTGCCTGTCGTTAGCCCTAAAATTGTTTGCATTTGTTCCAGTCAGTTGTGACCCCTGTGTTTGAAATCATGCTGCAGTTTCCACATGTGTCCACTTGATATCCTTTGGTTTCGGCTGCTCCCGCGGTGATGACTTGCCACGGTGCTCCATGTCGCCGTCGGTTTGAGGAAAAGAAAGATCTCCACCGAGATGATGTCGCTGATTGGGAGCCTCAGGACGACCTGATGAGTGAAATAGTACTTCTTGCTGCACGAGGGTGAAGGGTATAAAAAGCCTGAAACCTTGGGTGTGTCCTAATAACCTGTAACAGTCAGTAAATAATGAATTAGCACGGTTTTTGAATAAGCCCTTTACTAGCCATCATCATCCATTTACTACACCCCTGCAGATTAACATGGAAACCCAACACCACTGGTGTAGAGGAAAATGGTCTTCCACAGGTCTTTTCTCAGGTTCTATGTTAGTTTGCGGGGGAGTAGCCATCCATTGTTACTGGTAAATTGAATGGGATAGACATGGGTAGACCCAACTGAAACCAAACATGTTCAACCATTTTAAGATACATTATCAGGTAGTGTATATATGCAGCTCCTGGCGAGAAATAGCAAGGTGTTGCAATTCTGGGAGTGTTCGGTGTGCACATCTTGCGCGACCAGGTTGCTGCCAGGCTTGCAACATACATCACATGACCGAAAGCAGGTTTGTCACTGGGACACCTGAGGCCTTGCGTATGGCAACTTTCTTTGCCTTTATGACCACTTCCCTGCTAAACCATGCTAGCCACGCAACCTTCATCTTCAGCTATCCTCAACGCGTCGAGGACCGTAACAGCCTGGCACTGCGCTTGCACTACTTGGCACGCGCCAAGCCCATGGAGGATGAGCGCACCATCAAGGCCCAGCATGTGGCGCCTGGTACCTGGTGCGGTTGCCCAGGGAGAGGCACCGGAAAGGCGGATGAAAGCGGTCAGTGGAGGTGTCAGTGATTCAAGTTCCAATAGATCCTCGTAAAAGGAGGCCCGTAGTTAAGCCCACTATAGGAGGTGCTCGCAGAATCTGTGGGGGTGTACCATCCGCACCCCATTCAGGCGTGCCTGCACGCCTTCAGGTACTACAAAGTGCCTCAGAATGCTGAAAACAAGGCGCGGAACCTCGAAAAGGTCGACCACTACGACCACTACGCCCACTACCCGTGCTGGTGAGTGAAAAGCCTTTTGTTTCGGCGGCAAGCGAGCGTTCTTTCGGGGGGCAATTCGAGCGGTTTTTTCCTCCCCAAAGCTGATGGACCGCTGAAGCCTTCAGGACTGGCTGAAGCTTCGTGCCAATGCTCGGGAGATGGTCTACGGATTAGCTGCTCGTCCTTTCGGCTCGTCGTTCGGGTTCGTTCCGGAGCTTCGTGACTGGGGTTCGTTCGGTGCGGCCAACTGGGACATCTTCTTTTGGAAAAGAGAAGAACATGATCTGACACAAAAAACTGCACAATCATGACCTGAAAAAATCGCACCCCCAAGGAATTGATTGATGACTTGTGTGAATCGAGGGCACATCTTCCAAAGGTGTCCGGATCTCATGGATGTTTGAACGTTGTTGTTGGATGTTTGGACGTGTTGGTCCAGCGGACGCAGGGCCTTTGCAAGGCGCAGGCCTCATTGCAGGTCGTTCAGAAGGGTGTACCCGGAGCGCCGTGCTCAGGAAGATGATGACCCATTCATGAACAACGTCCCGCTGCGCACCAGCCGTGGCAAAGCAGGAGGCTTGAACTTTGCAGAGAACTACTTGAGCATCTACGCGGACAAGCCGGAGAACATGTGACTGTGGCATGCTCAACTCGTTTTGTTTGCAGCTCTCGACTTAGTCAAAGCCCTGAGCAAATCTATGAACCGGAGATTCTCAGGGTTCCATTTTTTGAGACACAGTGGACCACACACCCTTGGGCCATTTTTGTCTTGTGGAGCAAGTTATAGATTCAACTTGCTCACCCCGAGACGGACCACCAATCACTGACTGGAGGTATGGAGATGAACGAGACAACTACCCCTGCCTCTACAGTATTTGTGATGCACGACATCAATTTCAGACCGATTTTTTTCACTCAACCATCCCCTACTTCTTCGATGATGAGATGGAGTTGAACCCTTATGTTGCTTGGCACCTCTCGTCACTTGGGATCCGCAAAGAGGCGTCGCATGGCATCAGGAGCCAAATAGAAGATGGAAGACCCACCAGAGCAGCAGGAACGTTGATATAACAGAGCATCCCTTTTTGGGGGGTTGCTCTTCGTGCAGGCGTTTTCGATACTTGTATACATATATATATATATACATTATATATATATATATTTCCTTGTCTACACTTGGCCGAACCGAACATGTCAGATGCAGGTGAGCTTTGCGCAGGTGATTAAGATCATTCGTGCGCCCAGACGCGCGAAGCTCGCAACCGTAGGAAGCTCTACTTTACTAGACTCTACAGTAAAAGGTGTTGCTTACGTCAAAGGTGTTGCTGCATTGCTCATGTTTTTTTCTCACAAATGCCTGCAATGAGGTTGGCTTCACTCAATGCCCACAGTTTTTCCACGAAATGCAAGACAAACTGGACTACCTGGACAACAACAACGCTCAGTTCTTCCGCTTGAACTGCATGATTCGAAACTGCTGCCACTTGGTTCCAACGTGACGGGGATGTGGGGGTTTGTGGTGGGTCAAGAGGACCAAACAATGTGAAGATCCAAACAATCGATATAAACATATTCAACAAAAACTATGCAAAACATGAGTCAAAGTCCACTATGTAGGCTTGGCTGGAGTTACAGGAGTTAAGGAACCTTGTGACAAGGAACCTTTTGACTTGCGCTAGTTTTTCTAGTTTCTGGGCATTTCAAGGCTGAAAGTTAAGAGGAGCGATAAGCTATTCCCCCTGTTCCCAGCACCAATACCTTTGCCTTCTCCAGCACGTGCTGCATGCTGTCCTCGACCGTGGGACGGATGGAGGCGGCGGAGTGAGTTCCTGCGGCACCAATGGCACTTGGCTCATCCGGCATTCGCAGGCCCCTGACGAATTCTGACGAACAGCGCCACAGACAGTGCTGCAGCAGTTAGAATAGCCACTAGCTGATGCTACGATGCTTTGGGAATATGAATCGGACCTGCCTTGCCACATCCTGCCACGCAATTGACAGATTCTTATTGTTGACGGTTGCTAAATTGCCAAACGCTTATATTGGTGTTTTGTCGAGCAGCAGCTGCTGGTGAGCCACGCAAATGGAGGGATTCTGCAATAACATTATGTTTCTATATGTTTCTATCTATCATCCAGCGTCAGATTCTGGAGCTGGTGTTGGCCATATCGAACTTATGTATTTTCATGTAGTTTTGCTCCACCAGCGGCGCAGAGAACTCCTTTCAAGACCCCAAGAGCCTTTGGGGCACCAAGGCCCTGCAAAAGACATCAACACTTGGGATTTGAGCCAAGAAGTCTTCAAGAATCAGAGGCATGTGCGTGCACGAAGAAGTTGAAACCTATCCTACTCGTCGTGATGAGCTATTTCTCATCACTGTTCACTCTCTCCAACACCGGATGAACGCCCAGTCGCCGGGAGCGGTGCCACTTGACGTCCGCCTCAGGGCGACTTGGTGTGGGAGCGGGAGCGACGCCGGGTACGTGATGCGGAGAGCAAGCGGAAAAGCCAGGAGGGGTTTTTGGGGGACGGTGTGGGAGATGGACGGGATTGGATTTGATGGACTCTGGGGGGGGTTGACCGCCTTGGCCCTGGGTGCCGTGGTGGGCGAATGGACTTTTCCATGACTTTTCGTTGAAATTGGAGTTGGTTGGACCGTTGATATAATGAAGCTTTCTATATCGGCTGCTTCTATAGGCTCGTTCGGCGCCTTCCACCCCTGGCGGAGCGCCATGACCTTCGGCCTCAAAAGTGTCGTCGGAGCTTTCGCCCTACGCCGCGGCGACACGACGTCCAATCGGGGCTTCTTTGGGACCCAAAAGCCTTTGTTCGGCGAGACGTGGCAAGAGACCATTTTGTGTCCGGGCCTTCTGGAGGGTCGATGGACGCTGGCGGACGTGTGGATCTATACCTGGGGAGCTCATGCAAGTCATCTTCTCGACTTCTCTGCAGCGATGTTGTGCTACTGGCTCTTCTATTCCAATGGAACTTGGCTGAAAGAATGCCAGGAATGGAAAGTGGGCTGCTTGGTTCTGCTAAGGGTCACTGAGTGTAAATGTATGTAAATGTAGTTTTTCCTTTTGAATCGATGAATTGCCTAGCAGTAAAGGAAAAAGGTGGCGTGACCGAGACACATAGACATAGACTAGGGAATCTGTTTTGTTTGTTGTGTTTGTTGTGCTCAGCAAATCCAAGGTTGGGTCTCCTCCATTGTCCTTTACAATTTGCTTTGCGAGATAGTCCTTTGCAGCTTTTGGCACTACTTTACCTATGTGTCGGACACCTACGAGTCCTTGATGAAAAATGGCCTCAAGATGAACCCCGCCAACCAATACGAGCCTCAGGGGAAAGCCAAGATGCTCACATCATCGAGTGGGCAACTGGAGTTGGAAATCACCTTCACCACCTTGGGCTGGCTCCAATCCGCCTTTTGGCAATGTCTTTTCACAACCCTCTGGGCTCGCGGTGCTCTGCCGGTCTACATGAATTTCTGGGAGTATCCCCTCTACAGCCTCTTGTTGCTTTGGTTGGTGGCTTATTGGCGAGAGATTCACTTCTATTGTCACTCAGCCATTTGGCCTTTGGGGTTCCGGTCCGGAAGCAAAGTCACAACTCCCAAATCTCAACAATAGCTGTGGCATGCTTTAGCAAGCAGAACATGCTTGATACACACTGTAAAACTGTACATTAATACTTAAACCCATGCACCGGAATGGCATCAGTTGTGTCATCATGTGTCATCTATACCGATGATTTGCTTCCTCCCAGACGCCACTCACTTTCTCCGCCGACCGGTCGGTTTTTTGAGGCGCTCATCGTGGAATGCATCCCTGGTGGGATCGAGATAACGGACTTTTGAGTGGCGACCTGGGCGCCTTTTTGTATCGTCACGTCCATTCGCTCCATCACAAATCCTATAACCCAGGACCCTGGAGTGGGCTTTCCATGCATCCTGTGGAGCATCTCCTTTACTACACCTGTGCGACCTTGCCGCCGCTGCTCATCGCAGTGCACCCCTTGCACTTCCTTTACACGAAGTTTCATGCAGACATCGCACCCATCGGGGGGCATTCTGGCATGGAAGAGCCTATGGGAGGTGCCGACTATCACTACCTCCATCATGCAAAGTTTGAATGTAATTATGGAGTTCCTTTCCCGGTAAATTTTGACAAGGTTTTCGGTACCTGGGCGGACTGGGACACTTTCAAAGAGACTGGGGAACTCTCAGTGGGCGCGTGGAGTAAGCAACAGATGCATGATCCAGATGAGAAGCTGGCCCCCTTGCTTGTGAATGACAAGGTGATCACGATGGAAGAGTTGGCCAAGCATTGCAAGCCTGGGGACTACTTTATTGCTCTTTACGGACAAGTCATCGATATCTCCAACTTTATTTCGAAGCATCCCGGGGGCGAGAAGATTCTGGAGGCCCATGCTGGGAAGGATGTGACTGAAAAGTTCGAGAGTATCCACGTCAATTCAGGACGGGGAAGTTGGATGTGGCCATACCGGTCAATGCACGGACTCCAAGCGGGTTTTTGGTGATACAAGGGAGGTACCCATAAACAACCAAAGATGGAAGTCTCGAAATGAGACAGCTCTTTGGAAGCATGTAATACCTAAAGCCATAGAAAACGGTGTAAATTACAGTATCGAATGCATCAACAGCCAAAGTAACCTCCTATTGCTTTTCCAAGGCATGTATGTACATATGTAAATACATGTATATAAATACTTACTCTCCAAATAGAAGCTTTGCGCCTCCCCAAGCTGTCCAATTCAGGAGGTTTTGACTTGGTGTCCAAGTGGTGTCCGGACTCCTTCATTGCGTCTTTGAGTGGATACAGTGGGCCGACGCCTCCCGTGGGCGGACACCGTGCCAAGCAACTGGGTGCGAAACAAAGGTCAGGACCGCTGTCCGGGGAGCCCCCGAGCCAGCAGAAACGGTGCCCACGAGTGGATTGAATGAAAAGGGGTGTGTGGTTCAATGTGTTTCATACAACTCCTGGTTGGCACGGCAAGCATATGTAATCATCCACTGATCCACCCCTCACAAACCCTATCTCATCAATAGCTTTTGTGTCAGGTTGCTTCAGGTCAATCATCGCCCCATCTAAGGTATCCAGGCTATTCGATGCTTTGTCCCCTGATTCTAGCTGCCCTTGCCATGAAGCAATTTGGAGCATAGGTGGCCAGAAGTGTCAGAGTGAGGTGCCAGAACCGTCCGTGCCAGAAAGTGTGCGTTGCGTCGACTGCTCCATTTGGTCCAGGTTGATGACGGAGACCTCAGACTGCGCAGACACTGCGTGTTTGAATGGTTTGAGGCTCCCATGCAGAACCTCGCCATGATGGTTCCGTGAATCCTCTCTCATTCTCTGAAACCAAAGATTGCTCATGACTCAACCTATATTATGAAGCCGGATTCCAAAAGGATGAGTCCCCACTAATAACCTGCCACACCTTTCTGAAGGAACGCGCGTGTTCTCGCTGGGTCCATTGGGTTGCACATGCCAGCCGGCCTGCGCCTTCTCAAAGGGTGTCGGAGGGGGGATCTGTCATGATTTGCTGACCAAATCGCAGGAGTACGTGGAGCGGCGCACCTTCCATGAGAGCTGCAAAGTGGAAGTAGCTTGGCGCATCGCCAAAGCGGTTTGCATGTTGAGCGGAAGAGTTGGTTACGCCACAGATTGTTGGTGGTGCAGTTGCTGTCTGAGTTGGAAGAAGATCCAGCGATCTTCGCACCAAAAGTCCATGGTTGCATGAATGAACACTGTGTACTGTACAGGCTTCAATCCCCGATGCCCCCGATTACCGAAGAGACCAGGAATTGATGGGACGTCAGACATGAGTCAATTTTTGACCCTTGCCGGGAATGGTTGTGATATGTTGTGATGAATGGCATACTGACGACATGCGTTACGCGACAGAGGCAAAGGATTCCCGTCGCGCATGCCATGAACATTCGACAATATGTTTCGGGCCAGTGAAGGGAGGGGCATTGGACCACCAAAACCGGCATGAAACCCGCAACACGGATAGGGGACCACCAAGAAACTGAATATGGTGGGATTCCAAAGCTTTGTAAGCTGATAGGGGGCCACCAAATTGGAGGATGTCCTTAGTCCGGCGAAGTTTGGTGCATGTGCAAGGTTAGAGGAACCCATCTATTGCCCAAACCTTTGGACCAACCGGACACCGGGTACTTTTTTTTGAGGTTTGGCTTTGGGTTTGGTGGATCGACACCACATTGGCTCCCTGCAGTCGAGTCGTTCGCCGTAGACCGCGGCGAGGATACGGCCAGCAGTTTGCAGACGGTGCTCCGGGGCCGACGTTCGCAATTCATCAATCGTCTTTTTGGCCGTCAATTGGGTCCGGAGCGGGAGAGGATCGCGCACGAGTCAGATGCCGCGTTTGCACCATGCAGTGATGCCATTTTTCAACGAAACTGGACCAAACAATAAATATGCACATGCTCCTACAACTATATAGGGGGACAAGAAACATGCTATTGACATCTCAAGGATTGAATGGGCAACTTCACCCCTTTCGCAGAACAACGTTGTGATCACATGGAGGGGGTCAGAGTACGTACGACTGTGGGGAAGGAGAACGGTGGCTAGTTCAAGTACTTGTTTGTGCAGCTCTCCACGCCAGTTGACTTGGAACTTCAGCCGCTGAAACGCCATTCTCATGGCATAGAACCTGGTAACCTGATAGGTCTGACTAAATCGGTCTAAATCCGACTTCACCGGCCATTGAAAACAGATGAACACGTTCCCATGCTCCCCTGGATTCACTGGCTTCGTATAGTAATATATAGTAGTGCTACTAATATTATATGTAAGGTTGATTTTGGAATCTTCAAACTCCGAACTGGAAGTGTAATTGCATTGCATGGTGATCTTAATTTCCTTTGCTGCATGTGTTGCTTTGGGCATGTTTAGGGATGGTGATTTTCTCTACCACCCCATCCACCCCTTTCCTTCAGCTTCCCCACCGAATCGTCTTCATCGAGGTCGCTTGTCGTACGGCATGGCGAAGAACCCCGTGGACTACCTGGCGGCCGTGCAACGATGGGCCGAAGGTGGTGTGGTTTTGTCCTTGCAAACCTTCTTCAGCTGCCACAAGGGCCGCCCGGCAGCGTTTGGGATCTAAGTTCTGCCATTATTGAGACTATGTGCTGATGAGGTCCTGCGAGTTCTTGAAGCCATTTGACCCCAACACCTAGTCTCATGGTGAGTTTCAAGGAACTTTTTTCCAGTTCCAAGTGAAGCGCGATGGGCCGCAGATCAATGATGGGCAAAACTTGAGTTGACATGCTGCAGTGCGGAGCGCGTGACAGGAGTATCGAACAACATGAAAATGAACATGTGGTCATGTTGTCTTGTAGTGAATAGACCCTATAGAATCTGAGAGGTCCAGCTCAAAAAGACCATCAGCATTCATATGCAGATTTGTTCTAGAATGAGATATCGACCTACCTGAAAATATGCTAGCCTAAAACCCTGTGCTTTCACAGGTTGATCTTTCATGATGTCAAAAGGTTGAGCTGAACCATTTTGGTACAATAACAATTTCATAGAGAAGGCATGAAAATGCATCTGAATTTATAGAGGTTGTAGTTTTCATTGTATAGACAGCATTTGGAGTATGAGTAGTAGAAGGCTGAGAATTCATTTCAGAGTGGATGGTGTGTTAGGTTGGTTCTGTATTTTAAAGAAACCGCTTGCATTTGTGGAGGCGTGATGTGCTTTTTAATAGTAGATGTGAATGTTGGGATGCTAGATTCAATTTTCCAATGTCACCCCTGTATAAAATCATGTGTTCCTAAGGCTGTTTTTTTTGTTCTCCTTTTCTGCCTGACCTTCTCCTAAAATTACTTTCGACCCTGCAGTGTCCAAGCATGTCGCTCTATAAAATCACTATCAACCTCTTGCACCACTTTTGACCAATCATGTTCTAAATCATTTTCAACCTTCATATTGCTCCCCACTTGTCCATAGAATCAACCTCAACCTTGGATGTGTATATCATATGTTCCCAGATTTTGGCATCAAAAGGTTTTGAGGATTAATATCTTTGCTCAAAAGGTTGAGCTGAACCGATCTCAGCACTGCAAGGGTTGAGCTTTTCATTCTATAATGCAGCCTTTCTTTGGCAGAGTTCCTTTTTTCAGCCACTTATGTCTTTGAAATTAGCATGCCTGACATTCACCGGTTATTCCAAAGATATTACTGTAATTCTATTTTTTGTAGCAGAAGAACATGCAGACTTGTTCTCCAGTTGTATAGCTGGTTGCTTGCAAGAGTCATGATGAGTCATGCCTGTTTGCATGGTTTGATCGAGCTTGCTGTCTTTGGCTGAGGTGTCTACATGGTTTCTGGGCGCACTGATGGACGGATATGTTTGTAAATCAAATTCCTCATGTTCTAGACGATGTTTGATACAGGACTCGTCATGGTGCTTGATTGTTGAAGACCGGCTGCCTCTACAGTTTGGGCCATGTTCCATGTCTATGTTAAACGTTGTTGTAGAGGTGGAAGGTTGTATCTTGGAGCGTTGTGTGTGTCCGTGGCTTGCATCCATGCCAGTGCCAGCAGATGTGAGGTCCCGTGAGAGCGAGGTATACGGTCCCGTTCCCATGAGCCGGTGGAACCTTCGCACCATTCGGTGGAAAAAAGGAGCCACCTGTTTGTAGGGGAAAAACTGTCATCCAAGGGCCCAGGGGCCACGTTCCACCTTCAGGGAGCCTCCCGGACACGCCAACAGCACTCAAACAAAATGTGTCCTCGGACGGTTCTTTTTCGACCAGAAACCACGTTTCTCCGCGTGAAACGGACCGGGACCGCTTCTACCGGGACTGTGCGACCTTCGTGGCGAAAGACCGAGGTTTGGTTCACCCTGATCTTTTTCTTTGGCTTCCTCGCCTCGCTCTTCCGGCTGGTCAGCAAGACGGATCCCCAATGGGAGTTCGCCACTTGGGCGGGGGGGCGGAGCGGACGCTGATCGTGATGGGTGATCCCCAAGGTCTGTGAGAGGACAAATGTATATATACCCTCCCTCCAACAATCATGGAAGCTGACCAGGAGCCCCTTGTAGAGGAAAATGGTTTTCCAGGGGCCTTTGTTCCACTTCCTTGATTGTTTCAGGGAGTGTAATTTATACATATATATATATATTTTTTTACAGTACATATATATGGACTGCGCTCAAAATGCCCTACTCCTACTCAAAAAATATAGTATAGATTAAAGATAAACGTAAACTTTTAAGGTTGGAGATGTGTTTTTAAGTCTTCGTTTAGAAGCGGGCCCCCAGCAGACTATGGTGATACAGCAAGGCAGCACTAGATTGGCGCTAGGTTTCTTCATAACAGGATAAGCAAGCAGGAAAAAAAAAGAAGAAACAAGCAGAGAGCAGGAAAGAGAAGAAACAAGACAAGAAGCAGGAAAAACAAGCAAGAATAATAGTAATAATGCAAAACGAGAAGCAGACAAGCAAGCAGGAAAAAACACAAAGCTGACAGGATAAAGAGATCGACGGATACTTTTGCGCTAGGCTGGCGCTAGATCCGCGCTAGCACCGCGCTAGACGACGCTCCATTTCTTAACCATTTGCCCATCCAACACCCAAATCTTTTGAGTCAGCTTTTACGTCCTTCCTATGTCGCTCTGAAGATTTCTGAGTACTAAAAGTTGGAAGCAACGGCAGAAGTCTAGCAGCAGCAGTAGCAGCAACAACAACAGCTCCAGCAGCTCAACCGGCTCCTGAAAAGGTCCGCGCTAGACACCTCTTACAGTTTTTGCAGTTGACACGCCTTCATGTTTAACATCCCTGTGCCTTGAGCGTGGTTGGAGCTTAAAGGAGGCTCAGAAGCGGGCCCCCATGGAATTGCGATCAGTGCACCAGTTTGGAAAAAGACATTTGTTGGAAACCAACCGTGTGCATGGAAGAAAGTGATATTCTTGTATATGTGGATTATTCAAAGGCTTTGGTTGGCTTAGGTTTGTGTTGGTGGAGACGGTTTTGCATCTCATTTTCAATGAGATGCAGAGACATTCAAGACGCCGATTATATACATCACGACGAACGATTGCGGAGTTTCTGCTCCATCCTTTGGGCGAAGGTGTTGGTGAACCAGCTTGGCCCTCCAAGGATGAGCCGTAGCTCGAACCAGCTGTATCCAAGGAGATGAATCACTTGGCAATCGAGAATCAAGAAATTCCAAACAAGTCCTAGAGAGCAGCAATCCTCCTTCTGTTTCATTCTTTGACTCATTGGATGCTCAGCTCATCCAGGTGAAGTGGGGCTACGTGGAAGAGGATTGGTACACCGAAGTCATGGCACCCGTGGTGAAGTGGCTCCGTTCCTTTGCGCTGGTGGCCCGCAGCGAATATTTCAGCCAGAACCCCAAGCTCCTGGAGTCTCGGGCGGTTGGGAACCGCATGGTGTGGGCACGGCCACGGTGGCTGATTCAAGTCTCGATCCCGGTTCCACCCCTCAGGTTCCAGACGTGGGTGGCTCAGGATGTTTTAATTATATATATATATTCCTACACTGCTTTGCCGTGTACGGTATACCGCGAACTCGCAAGCGGTCAGAGATAAATATATCTGGACAGATGTTGGCATATTTGGCATGTTGTTTTGCAAATGTGTACCATGTCGCATGGAGTTTGGTGTGGTTTATCAGTGTGGTTTTTGCCATGTTCCCTGCTCTGTTTGGGGAGGTTTGCTGACATTGGGGAAAACTCGCGCCCCAGGCCTTCGGGATCCAGCTTCCATTCTCCACCGCAGAAGGGGGTGAAAATCCGAACACCGAAACCAGAGCAACACAACCCTACCCCACTGGACTATGCTGGACTGGCAGGTGTTCACCTGCCTGGCGGGGGGCCCCCCTCGATCTTCCAAGAGACATGAAGCATCACATGCTCCTCCAGACCGATTGCTGAATCCCTCACAGCCTGTGGGCCTGTCATAGACCTGAAGGCCAGAGACCTGCCTGGATGTTCTTTTTTTCGGACCAGTGGGTGTCAGAAGCACCGAGAAGGCTCCGAAGAAAAAGGCTCCAGGGGTGCAGTTCCACCCTGGGCTGAGGGGTTCCTTCAAAACCGCATATGGAACGGCCACGTATAGGAGTATGGTCGACCTATGGTTGGGTCTATAGGGGGCTACCCTACCCTACCCAGCCGCCACAATGACTGAAGGCCCACCATGGCCCACCTCATTAAAGACCCAGAGGCAGAAGTCGCATCTAGCAGCGACAGTTGAAGCGTACTTCTGGGGCCAACTGCTTCGTGAAGTGCTGAATTGAAGGAGTGAACATGAGAGGATTGAGTTTGAAACATGTTGAAACCCCGCCCGGTCATTCTGACCCCTTTGGCATCGCGGGCTTGGTTGGCTAAGGAAACCTACTTGACCATGACACTTCAATTTATCAGCGCCTCGGTGCAGAAACTCTTCAGTTCTTCGCTTCCACGTTCGGAACTCAAACGCGTGCGTTCGGGAGGCGGAGGCGTCAATGTGTTTCGCTCGTCCGTTCGCAGCTGAGCGTTTCGTGGCGGATGTTTGAAGTTCCAATCCTCCTGCTCTTTTTGTTCCTAATAGCTTGTTGCTCCTAGTAGTACAGCCAGGAGCCCCTAGTAGCGTCCTTGTTCCTAGTAGCGATGCCAGGAGCCCCTAGTAGCGAACATTGTTACTATGGTCTGCTTGTGGAATTCCCCAGCGAATCGCAACTATGGGCCAGGATGATTGGACAATGTTTTCGGACACCATGGAGCCCTTGGAGCTGAAAGCTCCTGGGCGTTTTTTCGGCTTTTCAGACCACAATGGCAACTCCCGAAACCATTTTTTGATAAGTTATATATATGCCGCATGCAGAAGAGCAAAACCGCTCCTGGCCCACAAGCTTTCAGTTTCTCAGACCTCCCCCCACTACTAGACCTGATCATTTAGGAGGGTTTGGGTCTTGTCATGCGGCCCACAGGCTGGGTCTTGTGCTTGGTCTTCGTCTTTATCTTCATCTTCATCCTCACAGAGTTCTTGAAGGTGGTTCAACGAGTGCCTGGGATGTTCAGCGGACACCGCGAGTTTGATCAGGTCCACAACTCCCGCTTCAGCCCGCCGGCCCAAGCCTCTGGTTTGGGAAAAGCCAAGGGCGACCAACTCAAACCTGTGGTCACTGCATTGGAGATTGCCATGGATAACCCCTGATAGTTAAACCCTCCTAGATACCCAGCCAAATTAATCCAAAGTATATATTATATATACATAAATTAAGACAAACCACTGTAGAGGGAAGACCGGACCATGATCGAAGACACCAACGAACCCCTAAAACTCCACAAAGCAGCAACGATGAAATATTAATCTAGGCAATATAAAACGACGTCACCAACGTCACCCTGAAATTAACGAGCAAGCTGAAATTAAGGTATGGTTATGGTCATACTAACATCACACACACACACGCAAAACACACACACACACACACTTCATCGACTTCACAGTCCTGGCAGAGATTTTGGAGGCGCGGGCGGGCGTGGGCACTGGATCTAGGACTGGATTTGCATGGGGAAGAGGATGTCAGTCAGTTGGAGTTTTGCTTGAGTTTTCGGGCTCGAGTTTGCAAAAAAAAAGAAGTCATGCCTCACCTGCTCACTCTCCACACCACAAAAAAACACTGCCCAATTTCGAGGTCGGGAAGTTTTGAAGTTCTTTTAGTTGTGCCCCCCATGAAGCGGCCCTCCAGCCATGATGAGTGCCCAACAACACCTACGGACCGCGTTCGGCCAAGCGTGTTCCCTAGCCCCAAAGCCTCTTGGCTGTTTTCCCTTTCACACCCAACCTGACTGGTTCTTTCCTGGCCAAATCGTTTTTGGGCCTAGTTCGCCGAACTAGGATTTGAGGCCTGGCGGCCTTGAAAGTGGATTGTT